AACACGTGGGCCCTGCTGTGCCATCTGCCGCCCCGGTAGCACCGGCGCGACCGGTCGAACCAGAACGCCCCAGGACAGTGTCGGAGACTTTCGCTACCTTTGCGAAGAAATCATGGATGTCCACCTCTCGCTCCCCCTCTCCGAAGAGAAACCTACAACCGCCCGCTGCACCGCCCCCTCGTCCTTCTCGTAGTAGGGCCTCGAGCAGCGATTCCGTCAAGGGTGCCGAAGCGCCGCGCAAGAGGCCCCTCTCTATGCTTATCTACCAAGAATCTGCCGCTGCGAAGAGCGCCGAGTCATTAAAACCGGCACGTGCTCTCAACCGGACGAGTACGTTCTTGACCAAGATCAAGCAGCGACCGAAAAGCATGCTCATCACCTTTGGATCGAGCCTCGATTCGGACGCCAACAGTGTCCCCGCGTCCACAAACGTCTTGCCGCCACCCAGCGCCGCTCCGGAACATGGTCAGCGTGGTAGGAAAGACGCAGACAGCACCGTCCACACCAACAAGAAGTCCGAGTCGAAACCGGCATCTGTTACCGAATCTCACACCACGGCAACAGACGAGTCGTGGAGCGAAATGTCGGTCATTAAGGATACAATCTGGTCCGCCTTCAAGACGCTTGATACCGAGTACGGAGGCTTCCATTCAAAGACCATGGCCCAACGAATGCACCTGGTACGCGCAACCTTGCTGCCATTCTTGCGGACCTATATGAACCACCCCACCAACAAGGGACTCAACCTTGAGGACGTTGAGCGGAGGGCGATTGTGCTGAATAAGTGGTGGACTGGCTTACTGGAGATGCTTGACTCGCAAACCCAACAACTGGCGGGCGTTGACCGACCGGTTTTGCTTGAAGCTTTGACGATACTGATGATGCGACCGGAATGGCGACAGACAACGACATATTTCATGTCTTTGGCGGATCGCTCACCGAACGAATGTGTTCGGCCTCGATCGGGAACCCAGTCAACAACGGACTCCTCGCAAGCATCCAGCCAAGCCTTCCTTGCCGAATCGGCCGAGCACAACGTCCGGACCATGTTTGTGGGTAACCTCATGAAGCAGATGCAGATTGTAGTGGACAAGATGTCACTCCGGCATGCGCCTTTGAGCTTGGTCAATTGGTGCGGTAAGGCCTGCGCATACGGCTTCTTCTTTTGCCCGTCCGTTGCTGAGATCCTCGTCCGTTTGTGGGATCTGCGGCCGGAACTCATCAGGCGGACAGCCGAGGAGTTCGGCCTGCCCAAGAAGAACGGCGGTGAAAGCGAGGATATCATGGCGCTTTTCCCACCCAATATTGGAGTGCTTGGCTGGCAATCGCAGAAGTTCATCAGCGCCCGCTTCAAGGAGAGGGTCAAGCTTTCGGTCATGGCGGCGAGGATCCCTTGGTTCAGTCCTTGGGTAACTAGGTGGCGCGGCGGTGATACTGACCTGTTCTTCATTTTTTGCAAGTATTATCACATTCTGTCCGAGGAGTTCATGCCAGAGGGGCTGCCGCTTCTTGAAAAGGCGCGTTCGCCGGGCTTCGTGCTGGTTCAAGCGCAGATCCTCGCCTGCATCGAGTCTACCATCCATCGACAAGCCGAGGTGGACGCGATGATGAACCCGCTACCGCCCGCCGACTCATTTTACGGTGCCGACGCTGCCGCGACCTCGATGACAGTTCCGGCAAACCTGCTGAAGAATATGGCTGAGAATCGGCTCATTGTACTGCTGAAGGATATTCTCGGCGAATCACTACCCGTCATTGCTCCCGCAAGACGAACTTTTGCGGAAGCTTTCCTGGCTGTAACCCGCGCTGCAACCCGTCGGGTGTCTGCTTTCGACCACAGCGCTGTTTTCACGCTGTGCGACTTCTTGGAGGAGGCGTTGGTGGCCTACGACCAATTGGACGATCTCGAAAACCCGAATATCGCCCAGAGCATGAATTGGCCCTTCTGGCTCGACGTGTGTAGAAAAATGCTCGTCTCCGATAACGCCATGACGGAAGTCCGACTCCTCTCCTTCATCTTCTCGACTTGGGAGGCAGTCACTGCTAACCCGGAGAGGAAGAAGGCCTTGTGCTTGGATTGGTTGCTTTCTGAAGAGACATTTGACGCCTACTTCAATCACTGGTGCCCAATGGTGCGTGCCTACTACATGCGCCTGCTCTGCTGGCGGATTTGCCGAGACGCCGGCAGCGCAAATGAGGTTGATGCGTAAGTACCCCCCTTCTTTTTTTTCACGAGAAGTCATGCTCAGGCGCTAACTGGTCAGCCAAATCTTCCTCGTCGCTGCGGCCCGGCTCAAGACAGGTTGGGCTCACTATCTTTACCTCCGCAACGCTGCAAATGCGGCTGGGAAGCTCCCCCCCTCCACCTCACCTTGTCTCCCTACCCCGGGTAAGAAGTTCATGATTATTCGCACGGAAATCAACCTTCCTCAGCCTGGATACTTCAATCAGCCCTTCGACTCGTTCTCTAAGATCATCAACGGCGAAGGGGTCATGGCGGCCTCGACGCCGCCGCCCGAGACGAAGGAGGTTGTTACTGCCAAGGCAGACAACAGCAAGAAGCGCTGGTCTCTGATCGGAAAGGTTCTGTCTTTGGGAGGCAACAGCTCAGACAGCGAGGACAACAGCGAGGTATCACGAAAGGAAGCGCCGCTTAAGCCATCCGCACTCTCGAAGCGTCGTCAAGGAGGCCCGCCTCTGCCGCCCAAGATCTCTACTTCCACCGCCTCCGCCGCTACCACATCCTCTGATGGCAGCTCTCCCGGCGCGTCGCCTATATTCATGGAGCAGAAGTTCGTCTTCAAGTTTACACTGACCTGGCAGCCCCCTGCCGTCACCCAGCCGCGTGACCGCCTCCTCACCCGTCCGCGTCTTCCCGCACCGGCGCAAGCTTGGGTCAGTGCTCGGTCCCGAAGCGGCAGTTCACCTCCTCCACTGCCCGCTGGCCTCCCGGACCCCACACGGCGTGTCTCTGGTTCCAAAAAGAAGGGTCTCGTTGATGGCGCCAAGAACGCCAGCCCGCTTACCTCCCCCACTCTCGAACGCAAGTCATCCGTCACCGCTGTGTCCTCGTCCTCGCTTGCGCGCAGGCTGAGCAACAAGTTCGACTTCGAGAACAACCCCAATGTGGAGCTGATGACCTTCGACTTCGAAGGGGCGGAGAAGTCATCAGCATCGTCGATGTCGTCCGCCTCATCAACAGCTTCATCGCCTGCCGAGAAGAAGGCCGAGGATGAGCAGCTGCAGCCGCAATCATCATCTCCTCAGGTCCAGCTTCAAGCCCAGCCCCAGGCCCTAGAGCAGCAGCAGCAACAACAGCACCAACAGAAACCTGAAGGTCGCCGAAACGGGCCTGAGCCCTTGACGCAACCACTTCGCCCGACAGGCATGTACGCAAAGCGTGCCGTTTACACCGGCCGCGCCCTTGCAGAGTGGAGTTTGATCGTCGCAGAGTGCAACGGCTTCGTCGACCGAAGACGGGACGAAGGCGTCCTTGGCCTCAGCGAGGTGGAGGTGCCGATGTTGACGGTCGAAGGCTTCCGGAAGATTGGCTAGACAAAATGTTGCCTGTGAGAACACGCCGTGCACTCGGGGTCACATACTCGCAGCACTAGCGCAATCCTCTCGACAAACGATTTTATTACGACAGGTCTGGATAGAAATGTCGGGCTACTTTCATCCTGCATGACACAGCAATAGCGATTCAAAAAGTACGGCGTCACGTTCATCCTTTGCCACCTGGTTTTAAAGCGGCGGCTCGTTATTCTTCCCACGTTGATTGGAAATCAGCATCGCCATTGCCTTAGACTATCTCGTCCGAAGAGACGGGCTTTCTATGAAGCTCTCGAATGAGTCCCTATCTTTCGTTATTCATCTCGGGGATCTTGCTCCAGTTTCCTGCCCCGAGCGGTTCTATTTCCTAAGCTCCGGTGGCTTTTTAGACTTTTTTTTTTTTTTTTCCTTTTCTCATTGTCAGTATTGCTCAACCCGACATCATCGACGTAATGATAGTTTCCACATCCTCTTATGTATGTTTTTTTCCCCCTCCTACAATGGCGTTCGGGGAGGAAGGGAAACAGTGGATCAACAATCCATGGGGTCCGGGTGTGTTAAGTATGTGTAGTTGGGAAGCAATCAATGCAAGAATTGTATTTCTCGCAAATTCCCTTTGGATGCAACTTTTTTTTTCTCCTTCATGTTCGCAGCCCAGGGAACACGGGGTAGGGGTTTTGTATTTACCAAATCGCATTACAGACGCACACAAAGATATATGTCGGTGTATTGTTGAGTTTCATTCGAATTCTCGAAGGGAGAGGGGAAGGGAGGGGAGAGCGCGTTGAAGGATATATCCAAGCAAACTATCCGTAACCAAAGTCGAAGTGAGAGACAACTTCCCAATCAAACCGCGCTGCCTACGGTGTCATGTGCTTGTGTATGTGGGTGTCGGCGAGAAATGTGATGTGGATGAGACGCCGAGCAGGAAGATGCGAGAAAGGGGCAAGTAGGCCGTGGTCCGATGGGCGCGCATGCCGGTTCGGGAAGGGAAGGGGCAAGACAGCTTGCTGTGGGCAACGGGAGATGCAAGCAAGCAGTTTCACCGGGGCGGAATTGTTGTTTTTCTGTAGTGTCAAGGATGGCAGTGGGCCGACTGAATATATGCTGATATGGCCAGAACTTCAGAACGGCCCGTCGAAGTCATGTAATATGCCAGGCGAAACAGTGGCGGAGCAAGCACAACGGTCCTTTCCGGCTTGCCGAAGAAGCATTGTGCGATTTCATCACAAGCAACACTTTATTCCGGCGTACCAAACATGACAACTCGGAGCAGCGAATCTACTGTAGCCTGCAGCTGACAGGGATAGGCTTGGTGAGAGGCTTCGCAGATGCAATGCCGAGGCTGGTAGCTCATGAAGTGGCAGGAAAACGCGAAATATATACATGATTATTGTTGACAGATCGGAACCCGAGTAGAATACCCCTCCCTTCAAGATCATACCCGCTTATACATCCAAGCCGTTCTCTTCCCTCCATTTTTTAACGCGAACAATTAGTTTATCCCGACGAACCAACGCCTCGGGGCTCCAAACGCCCTCCTTTGACGGATAGAAGCCGTCGAAGCGAGGCTTGCCATCATTGGCAATCTCGAGAAATGGCTGTTTGCTGCGCGTGAAGATGTAGGCATCCGGACCACCCAGCAGAGCTGATGAGTCGAGGGTCCCGACGCGGATGAACTTCATCAAGGGGCCAGTCCCGTCATAGTTGCTCCACACAGGTGTAAGACAAAGTGGGCAACGAGCAATGTGTTGCGGAGCGCCTGATTCGGCTGGAACGGGTAGCATGACAGGTGAGGAGATACCTGCCCTGCTCTGCTCCCCGGTAGAGCCGCCTGACTTGTTGATCTCGTGGTTTCCGTCGGGTCCAGACAGCTTGTGAGTCCAGTCGTCGCGGATGGAGTTCGGGAAAGATGCCAGCGGTTGGATCGGCGAGGCGGAAGGATTGCTCGGGAGGAGAGTCACCTCGTCCCCCTCGACCACGGCGTTAAGGGCGAATGCGGTGCCGGTTTCGCGCTGACAGCATGTGCAGTAGCAGCAGTGGACGACCAGGGGCGAGGCATTGAGAGAGTACCTGATGTTGCCGCAGGCGCAGCCGCCCTCAAGAGGGAAGATGGAAGAGGGATCCCCATTGACGTGGTGAGACATGGCCATTGTCTGCTTCTCGACGGTTGTGGCTCGTTGTGTTTGATGCGTAGGTGGAGAGACAGTGTATCGTCTGGCCCGAGGGATCTGCTGACAATAGCGTGGATGCAGAAAGACAACTGACGTTTCGTAAGGTCTCGGTGGTGGCCTTTCTTGAAAATTCCTGACGGTGGTGGGTGAGGAGGCCGGCGCGCTGGATCGGCAAAAATTGTGTAAGTGGAATGTCTGGCAGAGGTTGGGTAAGGGGAAAGGGAGGGGGTTCTTCATCACAGTAACTAGAGAAGGATGTCTCAGAAGGACCCTGAGTCTGAAGGACCTTGGTCTAGATGCGAGGCTCTGGCATCTGTAGAATGATGAAGGAGCAAGGAGGAGAGAAAACAGAAGAGAAAGAGGAGGGCAGGGAGGGGAAAGTGAATGGCTTATCGACGGGGGAGCTGGGGGAATTTGAAGGTGCCCAGTCAGAATCAAGGTGATGACCTGAATAGGCAAGTTGGTTATCTTATCACAACCAAAGCGCCCTTTCCTCGTTCTATCTAGGCAGACACGCTGGCCAGTTCCTCTACTTGTCATATTGCTGTCACGCCTTTCTGTCTGTGCGAGAGCTTGTCGTTTGCTTGCCGGAAGTAAGAAAGCCAGCCGGTTGGTGTGAATGTTTCGACGGTGCTTACTCTTTGAGCATTTCCTGGGCGGCCATCTGCTTCGCTTCATCCAGGGCCAACCGAACGTGGAGCAGGGAACGTCAAGGCCGAATGAAACTTGGAGGGCTCTGGACACTTTGGCTAGCTAGGCCACTCATGATAGTTGAGGCGCTATGGAGCAAGGGGTTGGCTGGTTGATTAAGACAGAGGACCCTTGGAGTCTGACTAGATGCTTGGGTGCCATCACAGGGTCTTAATCGCACCGGCTGTGCAGCTGGACTGCATTCCAGTCGAAGGCTGGTTCCCGTTTTCTTCATGTTGGTGCGATTGTATCGGCCTTCGGTGCCGTTGGATGTGACGTTGTAGTGTGTTTGGGCAGCATCATATGTCTAAGAAGTGAAAGGTTTCTAGAAAGCCGTTGAGACTGATTATAAACCCCTCGCCCTCCAGCTCGTCATAGACTCCTCGAGCCATTTCGACACTGAGAATTCCAACAAGTCCAAGGACAATTCAGAAACAAGATAATAACGACCGCTTCTCGAACTTTCAAGCCTATAACAACACCTTCACCGACATGCAGCCCATTGCCTACCTTGGACTGTTAATGCTCCTCACGGCACAAGCACAAACCGCACCATCGTCGCTTCACTCTCATCTCCAACGCCACAGAGAACGTGTCGCCACGCACGCCCACTCGAGTCACCAGCACTCGCAACTAGTCGAGCGAATCGGAGCGGCCCCGATGAAGTTATTGCGGGATATGGAGCCGGCGGTCCACCATATGGTCACGGAAAAGCCATCAGCACCTTCACCATACGATCGGTCGGCATTGGCATCGACGGAGTACAGAGATGACCGCCCGAAAATAGCGAACGCAGAAACAACAGCATCTTCAAGGCGAGAAACGGATGCAATGATAGCCCTTGGGCAGTCAGGACCCGGTCAATTCAACCCCGCAACGGCACGCGGCGGCAGTGGATTTGACCCGGACGCGGATAGTGCCAACAGTCTGCATCTCGACGCGGCGATGCGACTGCTGCGTGCCCACGCAATCGTCAAGCACCATAAATTTCAACGGGAGGTATGAGATGGACTGGCTTACGAGTTGTGGATGGGTTATTGTTATCGTACTTGTTTAATGAGCGACCGTTGACACGGTGGATGGTGAAGATGATGGAATGCCGTATGAGATTCGCTGCGGGATCAGCGAAAGAAACTAATGAGGTTAATCGAGGACAAGACGGTATGGTATGTATGACTGGAGATGTTTTTGGCCATCGAGAAATACCATGCTCTTTCACACATTTTGTAATGTGATGTACAACCGTAGAAACACTCTCTTCATGCTGAAAAAGTTCTCCGTTGTGGGCTGTCTGTTGGCGAAACCCTGTCAAGTGGCAAGAACTTCGGCAAGTCTCTCGGCAACAACGTCTGTCTCGTTGTAGGCAGCTTGCCATACGAGGACGGGAATATTCTCTCCTCCTGTGTTCGGGATTGGGTAAGGACCATATCGGATTTCTTTCCTGATGTGTTGTGTGGAGATTTATTCGGAGAGTTGGAGTATCTTAATTTGTGAGGCCGGGGTGGGTTTCGTCCTTTCTTCCCGTCCTGGTTCGAATCGAGTCAAGTTGTCCCATGTCGTTTCGTCCCGTGTCGCTTCGTTTGCGCACGGGACGGTCAACTATTTACGGAGTATACCGTGGATTTCCATCATTGGCGCCGTAGGCGGCTGATGCCAACCACGACATCCAGAGTAGGGTTATTGACTTGGCTAGTATGGGTTGGGATTTGGGTCAGGGTTCACACGGGATAAGCTCGCGTCAGGAGTATATTATATTATCGGTCAGGGGATACACGACATCATTAATAATAGTATTACGGTATCAATCAAGAGGACTCGTTGACGATGTGTCGGAGCGACGATCTTTGTAGCCGTGTCAATGTAACAGCCATGCCGGCCTCTTTTTTGGTGGTTTGTACGCATGCTAAGTAGGGATACAGTACCACAAGTTAGGGTGGGCGGCAACACAATACGCGTCAAACCCACCGGTTGGTGTGCATGAAATCGGTGCTCCACCAAAGCTGTCTCTGAGTCAAGGTGCTGTACCTAATCCTGGCACGGTCTTAGGGGTTTCCCGCTGCCCGTCTTTGTACAGTGAGGTGCCACAAGTCTCCTGACATATACACAATATACACCTAAAGCACGACTTTATAATAAGTAATACTAAGCTAACTAGATATCTTAGAATTAAGAAAGAATACTTCCTCAATAGCCTTACTAAATTCCTATATATTTTATATTTAAGTACTTATTTTACTCACTTATAAGAGTAAAAAAAGAGAAAAGAAAGTATAGTGTTCTTTACTTTCTAGAGATAGTAAGCTTATAGGGGATATATATAGTATATATACTGTATTTTCTTAAAGTAAAAAGTAAAAAACTTAAACCTATTTATCTATAATTATATAAGTAGTATACTTTTAAAAATAGTGTAATATACAGGGTGACAGGGGTAAGCAAAATACCCCTATGGTGTTACCCCCTATAACCAACATCATGATAGAGGGGGAATTGTCAAATCGTAGGGATTGTAATAGTTGATTAATTGTGTTATGTGTAACTATTCATGGTGAAATCCCGTGGGAACAGGGAAATCCCCCTATTTCTTAGTTAGGAAATCCTAGGCCAATCCTAGCGATATTATTAGTGAAATCACCATCAAAGTGGGGCAATTTCACCGCCTATTCCCCAGCGATTCGCCATAAGGCAACCGTGCATTCGCCGGTGAATTCACGTGTAATTCCGCCACATTTGACAGGAATATTCACCAAATGTAAAGTTCTGCAGTAGGGGGGTAGACGTTAGTTATCTAACCAGGGTATTTAACTTCGGCCTGGTACCATTGTAATTTATATACCTAAGTAACTATATATAGCTCTTATAGTTTACTTTTATACCTAATATATCGTGTATTATGAGGTGTCAGGAGACTTGTGGCACCCTACTGTACCTACACGTAGTGCTACCCTAGGTATCTAGGTAGAGGGAGGTACTATCGACCAGCTGTCCATACTCCGGTACCGCTCATCTCTGTGTACTGTGTACCTTGCGTCGGCAGGTATCTGTAGCCCAACGTACACTTGTCCAGCGATGCAGCAGCAACAAGAATGGCTAGTCACGGGAGCCAGAATTGCCCATCTCACTCCCCAGCTTCTCCAACCCTCCCTCCAGCCTTGGCTGCTGCCATCCCTTTCTGTCCACTTTTGCCTCTCGACACTTCTCGACACGACGATAGTGCGCATGCGACTGCGACAACGTGCCCTTCTTTACGCCAAACTCGATACCCGCGGCCACCACAGCCACGTCCTCCTCGCGACCCCTCTGGGCACCATCGACGCTTGATCCTTCTTACGCCATATGTTAGCACATTGTCCATCAGGTCGAAACACTCAAAGCGCCCGATTGCTGGGGAAGCTCCGAAACGCTGGGGCTTCTACTTGACCAACGGCACGTTCAAATCTGAAGGGTGGTCGCATAGTCCCCAAGGCAAACCCTTGTCTCGGCATTGCTTGTTGACAGCTTCGCTACTGTGGCATCTACCAGACAGCCAGCCTTCTTCGACTGCCTCGCTTCTTGCCATCAAGTAGCTCGCGGCAATCGCAACATCTAACAGTCGTCAGCCTCGAGGGACTTCAATTGCTTCTGCACACCGCTTGCTTCCCATACCAGCCACCGGCCGATCAACCGCCTCGCCTTCTGCGAAACGCGGCGAGATGCCTTCCCAAAGGCAACTGCGCACCCTCCTCGTGGGTGTGCTCATCGGCGTTGTCTTCGTCCTCTTCTACACGTCGGCGCTACGAGCGGACGAAGTCAAGGACGAGCGCACGATTCAAGACTTCTACCACAAAACGGTCAACGGTCTAAAACACAAACAACCACCGAATCAGGCCGTGTTGGATCGGAATAAGCCCAAGGTAGTCGGCTACGTGCCTGTCGACAAGGACGCCGACGGCGATGTAGACGCAGACGACGAGAAGCTGGCAAAGGACATGGCAGGCCGGTTGAAAGCCGCCGAGGAGAAGGCCAAGGAGCTTGCGAACAAGAAGTCACCGCTGAAGCCCGATGCGCCAAGCGAAGTGGTCGGGAAGGGCAATTCGGCCGCTGGACAAGACAAGAAGAAGGAAAAGACGGCCGCTGGAAAGTATGGCGCAAAGGACAGCGCAGACGTTGAGAAGAAGACGGAGAGTGACGAGGATCACGCCGTCGAGGTTGAGCTCAACTTGATCCTAAAAAAGTCACCAGGTAGGGCTTGCCTTGCCTTCGACCTCCACGTGTCGCTACATACTGACCAACCCTGCATAGTCATCATCTTCTCCAAGTCCTATTGCCCATACTCCAAGAAGGCCAAGGCCCTACTGCTCGAAAAGTACTCAATCGACCCTGCGCCGTTTGTGGTCGAACTCGACGAACATCCTCTCGGCCCCCAACTGCAAGCTTTCCTGGGCCAGAAGACCGGCCGAAAGACAGTCCCCAACATATTGGTCAATAGCGTGAGCATTGGCGGAGGCGACGACATCGCCGAACTGGACAATCACAAGAAGCTTGTTTCCAAAATAGTCGACCTTGGACACAAGAAGGTGGAGATGAAGGAGCGTTCTACCAACAGCCAGAAGAACAATTAGCTCACTTGAGCCCTTTCACTTTTGTCTTTTCTACATCGGCTTGATGTTTTCAACCGGCATCTTTGCTGTGGGGGCAAGCACTAAGGTACAGCGGGGAGGGGGGGCCTTAAAACGGGCGGCGTATGAACCCTAGTCAAGGACATTGCATATTTCGGAGTTTTGGTATCAGTTTGAATTGCCCCCCCCCCCCCCCTTTTATTTTTATTTTATACGGCAGGAGCTTTGAGCCGAGACTTGGGCTCTACTATGGGGCTCGACTGCGGAAAGATGGTATCAAGAGACGGCTGGACAAGTCTTGTGTAATGCGAAGGAACGTGTGCGACTGATTACTTTGGTGTGGTCTGCTCAGAGATGTCATGGCGACACAGTGTCAGGACCGCCATGATGACTTGGTCGTTGTATCGTTTCGTGTACACATGGTTCACTCAGACTGCTGCGATCGCCTCTACACCTACCTCGGTATCGGTGTGGCAGACCTCGAGACGTGTTCTTGTGCCCATTTCATGTATAGCTCGATACCCATGTTCAAAGAAGAGCTCAGGCATGCGGCAGCGGCGCATATAGCAGCAGGTCAGATGTGGCTTTACCCAAGTTAACCCACCGCAATCGACTTCAGCGATGGAATGGGGAGAAACGAGCGGCAAAGAGTGATGCAGGCCCCTTGGTGGACCTTGATGGCTGCTCAAGGATAATAACTGTCAGGAGGGGGTTGTTCGTTGTTGGCTGCCTTTTCCCAAGATAACCCACTCTCCTTGGCAGGCCGGCCTCGCGATTCCTGTTCGACTGTTGCGATGCGCCCTCAACCCCTCTTCTCGCGCCAAACAGGTGCGAGAAGCAGTATCTATAACAGGGCCCATGACTCAAATAGCACATCCTTGACGTTCTTCTTTGGCCATCTTCGATACCCGGATTTTTATTTATCTGGGCAATTCTGGGGCGGACGACATCAGATTCGTCGTCGGTTGAGAACCCGGATGGCCGGTCGCGACATCATTCAAAGGCAGTCGGTTCCGCACCGCGCTTGCATCCATCCCACTCTGTCCGGCTCAGTCTTCTTTCTGTTCATCCCAACTGGAAACCTCACGCGGCTCGCAGCAACCTCCAGTGAATCACTACTTCTGAGCGGCACTTGACACCTCGTCTCATATTCTTTTATCCGAGGAACTGGCCGACGGCCCCATCACCGAATCACTTACACTCCCCCACTAAGCGTATAAGAAGAAACAAACCATTCACCATCTATATTGTTGCCATTTACTACAGCTGGTGGTCTATCACTTGTTCTGCCCATCCTCCACGCCTATTCCTGAAGCACTTAAACCAAAGTAATCGCTGGACGTCGGACGAGAGGTCCTACAAGAACGAGTACCGCCCCCGACCAGCTCCTCGTACAACTACACACCTCTCGGAAGGATAATTGGCCTCTCAGTCAAACGGGAACCGGCATCCTTCCTATTTACATACCTTCGGATTCCCGTATCCTCCCTATCTGGGCATTCTGTGTGAACCGCCCTCTAAAAAGCGACAACCTAGACACACCCACCGACTCAGCCATCTGCATATTGGATAAGATGTCGCTTTTACCTGCACACCTTCTCCTTCTAGTCGCGGAGCACGCGGAGTTCGCCGGGATTCAGGCTCTCCGCGCGACATGCAAGAGTAACCGCAGTATCCTGGATCGTTACGAGCGCGCTGTAACCAGACTTAACGCCGCCCGCTACCCATGCGCACCTTGTAACCACATCCTTGCCTCCGACACGCGCGAGCGAGAAGTGCTTCCCAAATACACGTTCGAGACCCTCCGGGAACTCGAGAACAGGCAACGAAATATTGAAAAGATCGTCCACGGCGCATACCTCGCATTCTGGGAAGAACACGACCTCCGAGACGCGTCAAAAGCAGATACCATCCGCGCAAACCTCAAGCGCGCCCTGTGGCAGTGCTCGGCGATCGCCGACCTAGAGACACATTCGATCATTTACAGAGACGACGTCGTCCCTCGGCGCGACCCTTGCGTCAAGTCCCTGATCAACCAAAACATCATGCTGCGCGATGCTCCGCCGCCCGACGGCTGGCACCTGGCCCTCAAGGAGGTCCACGAGTCCAACCGCCAGGACGTGCGGTTCCGTCAGATTGCACACGTCCGCAACCTCCCCGCCCAGGAGTTGGCGGGCATAGTGGTCCTTGCCCATCTGACAAGCCAGGGGTACATGCGGTCCAGGGCGCCGAGGAGCGGGGCCTCAAGGCCCGAGATCGTCGAGATGGGCGTCTGCATGGCGGAGAACACGATCCGGCACGGCGTCTTTTTCCTGCACTCCAAGCTGCGCGGGGACGGGGATGCCAACCACCACGCCAAGCTGCTGCTCGACGATACGTACGACGAGATGCGGCACTGGGAGGCCGGCGACCGGAGCGTGCTGCCGGGTCTGACGATGAACGTTGTGGTAACGCTGTGCGAGAAGATCGGATGCGAGCAGCGGGACATGTTAAGCGCGGCATGTACGCTTGTCAGGGGGGACTTGTGGCGGCCGGCGGATGCGGAGGAAGCCGAGCCCGAGGTGGAGCGAGAGAAGCCGGTCGGAGGGGTTCTGCAGGATGTCTCGGAGGGGGCCGAGGAGCACACTACGTGAGACTATACTGAGTAGATGGCTCAGAAGATTTATGCATTATGACCCTACATGATTTGGTTACTTGATTTTGTCGTCTTCGTCTACTTGTGCCAAAGAGAGGGAATTAACCTCTGTTTTGCCGGATTTGACAATCCAATTCCTATCCTACTGACTCGATCTGCAAATACACACACTCTGGTTTCTTGGTGCTAAAACATCACATCTGATTCGAGAAGCCTCTCTTACACCGAGTTGTCTCCCAGGAACAGGGCAGGGCTCTCTCTTCGGGCTCAATTAGGACGTTATACACAGCCACTGGATTCGACATTGAACCCGCCGCGACAACGTAGACCCTTGTGGCTGCATTGCAGCCCGGATCCAAAGCAATTTCTTTTGATTGCTCCCACCTGAGGACACTTCCGGGCCCGGAAAGGCCGTGACGGCCCAGGGCAAGGTTGGCTGGAGCCTGGGTAGCGCATGATGGAGGTCTAGCCCAGCGGTGCAGGCAACGGCCCGCTTGCTTTGCTCTATTCACTTCCGGGAACCGAGCCGGGAGGGAGGGGTTTGGCTGGTACCTGGAGGATCCATAATGGAAGCCGCGTTCAGGCCACGACGGACGAACGAACCCTATAATCTAGTGCTTACATTGATTGCATTGCACTGGCCCGCTTGTCGTCACGGATACCCTGGTGATTGATCATCCTCGGGGGGGGGGGGGGGGGGCCCTGTGGTGATCCAGGACTTTGTACTCCGTAAACACGCAACCACGCGCAAGTCAGAGGTCCTGGTTTTGGGCAAAAGAAGAAGTTTTTTTCCCTTCTCGGCCGAGTGACTCAGGGTTTAATTACCGGTTCCTGACTTTTCTTCTTTTCTTCTTCTTCCCCCTGCCCGCACCCAGCAACTGCCGGGTGACGAAGTCCTAGATCCTACGCTAAGGAAGCGGCTGTCGTTGGTTTGTACCTATGTAGCTTGAACGCGCGTCAGCAGGAAATCTCTTGGACGTACCTCAAGCCCAGTTCCCGCTTTTTAGCTGTGCCGAGAACCGAATTGTCAGCATCGGACGTCGAATCGTCCGCTTGAATGAGCCCCCGGCCGCCGTTGTTGTCACCACTGAACCCTACGGAACGGCTCCGGAAAGGGGGAGATGGAGATGGCTCGTTTCCAAGGGGGGCCGAGATCCATGTCGCAAGGCAATTGCGTGTCTCCGCGTTGCATTGTCAGCTTAGGATGACTCTGACCGATGACCCAGTGGATGCGTCTGATGTGGGCGACCTAGTGGGATGCGGGTTTTCCCAAAGAGAGGAAAATACAAGAAAGTACTGGTGACCGATTGAATGAATTAGAGCGCCTCAATGGCCTGGGAAACATAGTGCGTCTCGGTGGCTTTTGGGGGGGGGGGGCTATGTTTGTCCTTGTCAAGGGACCAACGATAGAGGGACAGCGACCGTCAGAAAGGAACAGTAACCTCCTCCTACGGCATGTTGAAGGTTAGCGTAGTACATCATACTTGCGGGACCAGAGCGGTTGTTTTACGAGTGCATTCCAAGGCTACCACCTGGTTTCCGTCTCTCTGCAGAGGGATGAACCCCGGCCAGTCGGTGACTCAATGCTGGGTGCACTGCCTTACCTAAGGTAGTTTTGCTTGTGTACCAGCACACCACACAGGTCAGGCAAAAGCAGGTAGGTAGGTACCTAGAGAAGGGAATAAGCTCAAGCTCACAAGCTTTGGCAAGCCTCCGTCGTTGGCCTTGTACTAACATGCTAGGACCTAGCCAAAGACTTGCGTCACATTACGCCATCTGGTTGGACGGTTGGGGAAACATGGTGGTGGGAAGAGGGGGATGGGATGTGTGGATCGATCGAAGCCACGGGGGCTTGGGAGAGGAAGATAGCGTGTTGTGCGCCCGTTTGACAGAACCGCTCCATTCAAATGTGGTGTGGCAGCGAGGGGGATACATACAAGATACATACAGGATATACTGACATTGCATGCCATGGCGTCGACGGGGCGGTGCATTGCTCGTTGGGCATTGTTATAAAGAGGACGACTTAGGACACCGGCTGATAGCAATGGTCCTTCTTGGCTTGCATCAGTAGTCAATCACCCTTTCAATTGCTCAATCAATCTATCCAGCTTCGCCACCTACAAGCAGCCGCCGCCAGGTTTCATATCGGACATCATCCTCATCATCATCACCACTGCTACTACCTCTACCAAAATAGCTACCCTAAGAAACACACCCACCCCATCATAGCCAACAACGCCAGAACCACGAACATGGCCAAACCTTCGTACGCCCCTTCTACTTTCTCCGAGACTTCGACCGTCTGCTCCTTCGAGAAGGACCCTGAGGTCGTCCACGAAGTAGTCGCCGCAGCACCGAAAGAACGCCGCTCCATGAGGCAACGAGTCAAGAGGGCGCTCCGCGACGTCGGTCACCCACCCACCTACCGCTACGACCTCGAGCACGGCATCGAGACTAAGAGGACGACGGTACCCGCCGGCCCCATGGGCTGCAACGTCCTCAACACGCCGTCGCGCATGTAGGCCTCTCAGCATTTCGCGCATGCGAACCGGAACGAGTTTGTTTTGTTTTCCCGTTGCGAGAAGTCAGAGCATTATCAGCAGCGCAGCGTTTTTCTGTTTCGAAGGTCGGGACCAAGGATTCCCTCACGGGGACCTTGATTGGTCCAATTTTTTCTTATTTTTTCTTATTATCAATACCTCTCGGGATATCTGCTACCATGAGACATACCCAACGAAGAAGACGGAGGAGGAGGAGGAAGACGAAGAGGAGGGGAAAAGCAAAACGGTTCTGTCTCTTGTTTTGTCCCATCACCACTGAGCGATGCGGTGTCGGCGGCGACAGCCCATACCAAGGATTGTGCCGACGCGGCGCTCGATTGCGGGAGTCTACCGGAATCGTTTCGACAGTGATCAAACGTTAGATTTAGCCCTAGACAGATGGACTAATATGTCCAAAACTTATACCCCAATTCACCACGTGTTTGGTTCATTCTCCTCCCTTCATCATTGCCTCCCAGCGAACCATACTTCTTCCCTTTTGTTCACAACGGAGATTCGACCGTATTTCAATCTAGCCACCTCGTCCGTTCAAGTGATACTTTGCAGGAGCCCATCGCTAAAACTTGTCGAGGATTTTCAGCTCTTGTTTTGCTCACTACTGTGAATAGGGCCTTGAGGACCAGGTCGGGGCAGGCTCCGGAGGGTTCATGTTTACCGGCCGCGCTGCGGGTCCCGGATCCGGTGGGACTGTCGGGCCCGCGAGTTGCTGCCGGAAGGTCCATCGCCGCCCTTGTGGCAGATGTCCACAGGCTGTGCGTGGACTGCAGGCACTCGCCCAATGCTACGACCCGTATCCCGTGAGAGCTCCGAAGCGTGGCCAGTTGGCAAACATAAACATCATTGATAGTGTTGCAGACATAATATCCCTGCTTTCTCCACTGGCGTTAAATTTACGCATATGCCTGGCGTCACCCAGAGAACCAGCACGAAGCTTCGCGGTGACTACACAATGACGTAACATGTAGACATGGCATCCGATGTTCCTTTCCTTTACATCTCATCAGCCAATTGAGAAGGGCTGAAAAGGCTTGTTTCTAAGGGTCGTCGTATCTGAGTGGTGAAGCAAATCGGACGAATTTGGATCCACATCTTGCGTCCCGTCGTTCGGCTTAGAAATCACGACGCTCCCGGCACCGGCGCCGAGCTTGCGGTCAGAATTATTCAGCAGACCCACCGCCGCGTTGCGGCTTCATGCCGTTCACACATTTTGGAAGTACCATCGTCGAGAGATTGCAAGTTGGCAGTGTTTTGGGGCCAAATATAAAAACATTCCCGGCTCCCCCTCCTTCGCTGAGGGGCGCGATCGGTATCGTGCAAGCCAGGTCATCTCTTCAACTGCGTAGAAACCAGCCATGGTCAACATCCCAAAGAATCACAAGGCCGTAGCCACGCCCGCCAAGCGCGCGCCCCTCATCCTCGTCGACCGCGAGACCAGGCTGCCCGGCGAGGGCGAGGTCCTCATCCAAAACCAGTGGACCGCCTCTAGCCCGCTGGATCTCCACCGCGCCGACGGCGGCCTCCTCTGCAACTACCCGGAGGTCATGGGTGGCGGCGCGGCGGGCGCCGTTGTCGCCGTCGGGCCGGGTGTGGAGCGCCTCCGTGTCGGCGACCGGGTCCTCACCTTTGCGTTCCGCGACTTCGACGAGCGCGCCCACCAGGACTTCGCCACCGTGCCTGAGTACCTGGTCTCCAAGCTGCCGTCCAACGTCACGCCACAGGAGGCCGTGACGGTGCCGACGAACCTCATCACCGTGTTCCACGCCGTGACGGCTGACCTGGGGCTGGAGCTGCCGTGGCCGAAGCCGGCGGGCTGGGAGCCCAAGGAGAAGGACGACGGGTTGCTGGTCTGGGGGGCGGCGAGCAGCGTGGGCTTGTACGCATTGCAGGTGCTGCGGCATTGGGGTTACCGGAACGTGCTGGCCGTGGCGAGCGAGAAGCACCACGCCTATCTCAAGGATCTCGGTGCCAAGGAAACGTTCAGTTATCGCGATGCCGACGTCGTGGACAAGGTGCTGGGTTTCGTCGGCGAGAAGGGCGTGCCGTTCGTGCTGGACTGCATCGGTTCCGTCGAGGGCACGCTGAGGCCGTTGACGAAGATTGCGCGTAGGGGGACAAAGGTCGCCATCATGCTCCCGGTCATCATCCGGGACGCGACTGAGGACGTCGAGCCCGAGTACGAGATGGACGTGAGCCGGGTCCTCGTCGGCGAGTGGGCCGAGGGCGTCGAGCTGCGCGGGGTTAGGACGCATAATTACCTGGCGGTAAGTCGGGCCCGAACATGGATGGACGGCCCGGGGAGAGAGGATGCTAATTTGGCAACAGAACGAGTTCTTCAAGGAGAAGATGCAGAGGGAGATTGTGCCCACGCTCCTGGAGCAAGGCATCATCAAGCCGAACAAGCAAAAGATCGTCGAGGGTGCCACGATGCTGGAGAGGGCGCAGAAGGCGATCGAGTTGTTACGGAAAAAGGAGCTCAGCGGCGAGCGTCTGGTGTGGAGGGTGTCGGATCTCGAGCTGTAGGGTGGAGGGCCATCGGTAACACTGGAAATACATCATCATCCGAGTGCCCCTGGCCAACATGGATATCCAAACGTCATGAATAAATAATGTGTTTAACTGCTTTTGACTCTGTTCCTGCTTTTGTAATCTGCCGACCATCTGCTGAAAGAAGCTCAAAACTCCGACCGTGGGGATGCCTCCTGACCAAAAACAAGAACGCCGATGAGTGGTCCTCCGCTTCGTCTCCTCCCACCCGGATATGTATATCAAAGTCCACGGCACATATAGACACGACCAACCGAGCTCAGTCGCCAAGGACCGTTGCCACCACCGTTTTATTCCTTGCGGCCCTTCTTGGGCTTCTCCTCAACGTCGCCTTTTTCACCCTCATCCTCGCTCGCGACGTCCCTGCTGCGCTTCAGGCCCTTCATCTTGCGCGTCTGCAGCTCGCTGAGGTCCTGGCGGCCGACGTGCACGCGGCCCATCTTGTCACCCATGCCGTCCGTCGTAATGTTCTTCTTGGTACGTTCCTCGGTGCCGCGGGGCTTCTTCATAGCCTCCTTGAGCATGGCCTCATCGGGCTCGCGCATGCGTCCGACGCGGAAGTCCATCCGAGGGCCGATCTCGTTGACCTCGACGCGGGGCACCTTTGAGCCGCTGCGCTTGGTGCTGATGGTGTAGGCACGAAGGCGGATGGTGGGCTTGGCGCCGGCGACGTCACCCTCGCCGGCAGCCGTGGGCTCGTCGGCGGTGATGGAAACGATCCACTGCAGGCCCTCGACGTCGATCTTGTCCATCTGCTCGCCGCGGAAGAAGTCGGTGAAGAAGCTGCGGGCGTGAGTGTACTCATTGGCAATGGGGCTGTCCCAGGCGGTGCCGGCGAAGACGAGCATAGGCCTGAGGCCGATGGGCACCTTCTTGCCCTTGAACTGTGCGAGAGTGCGGAAGGAGTCCGGGTCTAGGTAGAGCTCGAGCATGTCGAGAATCTTGTGGCCAAAGGTGCGGATGAAGGTGATGGCGTTGGGGCGCTTCTTGGAGGTGTGACCGAAGACGAGGATAGAGGCATCGTTCTTTTCCGAGAAGAACTCGAGTGAGTCGGCTTTGTCAAAGGGGTGGACGTCGTTCTTCTTGACGAAGCGCTTGGCCAGCGGCTGGCGCATCTGGTAGAGCTCATTGAGGGCATCTTGTGTCACTTGCGAGCACGATGTGCCGCGGAGGAAGAGCGCCATCTTGGGGTTTTCTCTGCAGACGGGGCCGGATTAGTTTGCGATAATCTCCGGGCAGGACAGTTCACTTGTCAGGATGTCGAGAGGACGTACTGGACCTTGGGCTCGCGCTTCTCGAGGGCACGCTTGGAGCGCGCATTACGGGGTTTTCTGTGAAACACATGTTAGCGTACTGCTTTCAATTCGCGCACAGTGTAGATTGGGCGCGTCTCACATTTGACGAAGCATTGTGACGGTGGTCGATCTGTCTGTCGTCCGTCGGATTTGGTGTGGTTGGCTGGGATTCGAACTGAACTGAACTGAACTGCGTCGGGAGTAGAGAATGCCTGTTCAAAAAAATTGCTTATCGTTATCGGAGCGGCAAGTCGAGTCTTGTCAGTGCCCCGCGGCGCACCGAGAGAAGACAGCTGCTGACAGATGTCAGAAGCTGCCACTACCGTCTGGGACATACAGATACCTGAAAGCTATTGAATGTCATCAACACAACGGGCCCCGGAACCCGACAGACTCACGTTCCGACATGGAGGTTTTGTTTTGTTATAATAAGATAGTTGAAAAGAACCTTGGCCAACTTCTGGCTACCTAGTCAGCTTCACTGATTGCAGCCTCAGCTCAATCTCTATATCCATCATGGGCTTCATATTGCAAACCAGCGTCATCTTCGCCGTCATCTTTGGCGTGGCCTTGCAGCTTGTGCTCAAGGACCCTATCTGGCTGGCCTTCGGCATCGGCAAGACTATCCAGCCTCTGTCCGACTTCCCCTACTCATGCCGCCGCATCGAGGATCCGCGGCTGCAGGCATGCGAGGACATGTGGCTATCCGAGGCGACGCGCCAGCTGTTCCTAGCTTGCTCCGACCCTCTGGCCCGCCAACAATGGATGCCCAAGTACGTATTCCGTCGAACCCCAACGTCCCTTCTCCATCCTCACTCCGGTCCGGCGCCGAGCTTAACCGATTCACAGCGCCGCCCATTTTAACGCCTCGGGCCGCTCCACCCGGGATGCCATCGTTGTCCTAGACATTGACAGCCCCAAGGACGATGCATTTGAGATCCGTACTCTGTCCGACCCCGGATTTTCTGGCACTGCAGGCGACGGCCTGCTTCAACTCGTGGGCTTGACGGGAATTGATTCGTCGAAGGGCGACAAGATTCAGCTTTTTTTGGTCAACAACCGCCCTTCTGTCGATCCTGTCACCGGCGAACTCCTCGATCAGGCGAGCGTGGGTGCCAACTCCACGATTGAGGTATTCGAGACCGGTCCTCAAGCAGTGGGAATGAAGCACATACGCACCTTTGCCAGTGATAACATTTCTACCCCCAACAATATTGCGGCACTGTCTAGCGATGCTATCTACTTTACGAATGATAAAGGCGCCAGCAAAGTTGGCTTGGTAAGGCTTCTTTCGGCAACTCTCGGACCAGCTTGCCATGTCACTGACACACGACAGAGAGCCCACGCGAGCCCCTTGCTAGGCCAAGGAGATGTGTCATTCTGCTCCGTCTCGTCGGGATGCAAACGCGTCTCCGAGCGCCACCGATATCCCAATGGCCTCGTTCGTGGCCGCGACGGCCTCATCTATGTTCCGAGCGCTATGGCAGGAGGCATTCAGGTGTACAGAGTCGTCCCCGAAGACGACGGGCTGCAAAGGGTAGCGGATATCCCCGTGCCATACTCCATTGACAACCTATCAGTGGACGGCAAGGGCGACATCTATGCGGCTGTGTTCCCGCGTGGTATTGAGATGTTGCAGGCGATCGAGGACCCGCTCAACGCAAAGCCCAAAAGTGCCGCTGTGCGCATCAGCAAAGAGGGCGAGGGCGTCTACGTGTGGGAAAAGGTCATTGAGGATGGAGCAAGTGAGGTGTTGCCGGGGTCTACTGTGGTTGTCCACGATGCGAAGACGGGAAGACTGTTCTTTGCTGGTAAGTGTGCTCCCCCCCTCCCCCCCCAATCTGATTACGCACGGCTAACTTTTCTTCTTCTTTTTCTTTTCTTTCTTGTAGGCATAGTATCGACATTTATCGCAGTCTGCGAGCCAAGGAACTGAGATGTAGTTAGGTGCATTCCAACCATATGATGTTGAGTACCTGGTAGCACCGGATGCGACCACTACTGTTCCGTGTGGATCTCGCTGCGATAGTCGAGTATGCAGTCGGCTGTCGGTGGCGCAGACAGATGTCTTGGAGGATAGAGATTTTGGCGCTGAATGAAGAGGACCAAAACAAAAGGTCAATTTTGCTAGGTGTTAATGATGATGCAGAAGGGAAAACACCCCCTCAGTGCTAACTATCAGGTCTTGATTTTATGACCTATTGGTACGTACCCGTACCTTCCAGATAGGGATCCATGTGTGTACACGTGTAGGCCATAACGAGCGCCACATTGAGGCTAATCGCCGATAATGTAGATTCCAAATCCCAGATCCCAGATTCCTGGTCCACAGCGGTGACGAGGATCTGGAACTGAGGGAAGAAAGCCCCGAGGGCTGGGAAATGCGCTTATAAATCAAGCCGAACAGTCTGCCCACCGCCGGCGGGCTTGTTCTTACGTACAGAGTACAGAGACCCGCAAAGGTGGTACCGTCCGGCCGCCTACATACCTGCAGTACAGTATTTTCAAGCCATTTCCCGACGGCATTATTCCTGTTCGATGCGACTGTCCAAGAGGACTTTGAGTTGGAGGCTTGCGGGCCTCGATCTTTCATATTCAACGTCGTTCTCGGCAACTACAAGACACGCACGCTACTAGTGTACAAATCGTGCGGCAGAGGCTCATGGCCCTGCCTCTTGGCCCAGCTGCTTCCGGCGAAAACCGAGCCATCAGACAAGCTGATAATGCCCCCCCCCCCTGACAACCCGAGAGTACCGTGCACGATAACCGATAAGGGCCTGTGCACAGTTAAGCTGACAATAGATACAGTTATAGCCAATAGATAAGGGTATAGATAGAGGGAAAAAGTAGAAATAAAGGCAAAAAAACAGAGGGAAAAAAGGGATAGTCTTGGCCCATCCTGACCTGGAGCGCAGCAGAGGAAGCAGGGTAGGATAGACTATTCCAACCCTCCCTTATCAGCTTGTCTGTAGACTCGCGAAAACCCGGGTTCGGTACGACGACAGCAAGGAAAGAGTGGAGACTCCGTCCCTTGGAACTGAATCGCCGGGGGCCGTTACCGAGGCCTTGTGGCGTTTCTCAGTACCTACACTACATCAGAAACTTTCCTCCGATTTTAGAGTTGCCATCCCTGGGCCCGCCACCATCGGCACTTCGAAACTCAATGGGAGGGTTAGGGGCAAAATGCACTTCTTCATTTCGGAATTTAATCCTATAAGCACATATCCAAACCTGGATTTCAAAACGAAACCTGTCCTTGAGGGGGATCGTTTCGTAGTCGATAAATTAATGCTGGCGCATTTAATACCTACGAGATGGAGATGGGGAAGGGAACTCTATAGGAACTGACGCACGTCGATATGATAGGCCGCATAGACTGCTGGCCCAAGATGTCCATCCACGGCACGGCCATAAATGCCAGCTGGGCGATGGGGCTCCTATCGACTAACCCCCCGCATTAGGATATCACTGTCTGAGACGTGACGCACCCTTCACCCTTGTCAACTGTGAACAGCCGGCCAGAGTTATCGAGCGCACTCCATTTCACTTGGTTGACTTCTGCCTAGGCACAAATGGGAATCTTGTTTCATCTACCTAGGTTCAAGTTGATGTCAGTCTAAGGCATCCACCCAGCCCCTTTTCTTGTTTGCCGTAACTCCAGGCGCCAATAACGATGCAGTACCCTTCAAGAGCACTCCGCACACCTCTCATCGTGGCTTAAACGAGCAACACACCGTTCACGCAACCATCGTTCTCGGCTGAAGTAAATTAGCAAAAGAGTTCTTTGTAAGTTATCGATGGGGCTTTTCGTACGGTTGTTTGTGATTTGACAGTAGCGTCCCCATACCACCTTTCCAGTGGTTGTCGTGAGACCCAACTCACTGACATTGACCTCGATAATAGTACCCTTGGTCTGTCGTAAAACATGTTAGAAAAAAGACTCTGAATACCCGTGTTACTGTTTCAACGTACCAAAACTCCCAAATTGGTATACAGTGGGTTCTGGGGGTTCTTCTTCACGCCAATAATAGGCAGCTTAACTGTGACTCCAAGCTCGGGATGTGTGACGTGGGCATGCTTGTATCTCAGTCCCATAGGGCGAATAAAGCTAAATTGAGAAAGAAGTATCATCAGAACCGCGCACAAGCATCAGAAGAGAGAATAACATACCGCTCGTGTTTCGGGTCTCTTCTTGTGAAATTAGGCCCGACGAAAGTGGGCTTCGTGATCTGGACTCAATGTCAATAAAAACTCCACACATTCTGCAAACAATTCGTAGTCGTACCATGCGCTTCCACGACTTCTTGTGTGTCTTCTTGCCGGTGGAGATGACCTTGAACATCTCCTCCTCACTGATACCTTTAACCTTGGGTAGAGGCACCGCGAACTACAACACTGTCAGCCGTTGCCCGAAAGCCGTAAGCAAATCGTAGAGTCCCTTACTCTTGCCGCCTTCTCGGCACGCTTGTTCTTGATCTGTGACGAGATCGCCTTGGCGTTGTTCGGGTTGCTTCTATCCAGAAGATAGGCGGGCATGGGCTCGCTGGGCTCCTTCTCGTTGTTTGTCTTGATGTTGCGCTCCTCGTGGGCCTTGATCTGCTTGCGCATCTGGATCTTCTCATTGTGACGCTTCTTGGCGTGGAGCTTGGCCCGAAGGCCGCGAAGGTTCTGCGCATCCTTGGAGGCTTTGTGGCCCTCACGCGCTTCCTTCTTGCGAGCTCTCTCCTCGTGGTCCAAACGTCTTCCGTGGAGCTTCCTCCATCTCTCCATATACTCGTTCTGGGGCTGTAGAGGCTGTCAGATATCATGTCGTTCGAAAAGAAGGCGCATTTGGCGCAATCAAAAGCTAGGCGGGCGTACCATCTTGGCTAATTGGCGCTCGCAGCGGCTCTGCGGATTTTAAGTGTTGTCGTAGTAGATACCAGTGATGGAAAAACTCCAAGCGGTTTATAAAGTCTTATTCCGTTGGTGGCAACTAACTTGCTGAGACTCGTCAAAGGTAGTTGTTGTCGACGAAGCTACAGTATAAAGAGGTTCGTCGAAAGTGGCGGGTCAGAAAAAGTTCCCATTGCTATCGATACCGTCAAAAGTGGAGTGAAGGGACCCTCCAAAAATTCCCTGCACGCGTTGCCTCTGCACAGCCGATATGGAAGAAAGGTTAGTCCGCTACCGCTCTGGGAATGGGCTGTAGTCTATCCGAACTTTTTTGTAGCTTCACAGTTCCGCCTCGGCTGCTTGTTCGCGCAGAAACCCGGAGGAAAAGCCAATTTCGACGAACGAGGAGGAAATCAATTGTCCTGAGGCCACGCAACGAAAACTTCGGGTTCAGTTGTGATCTCTGCATTGCAAGCATTGCGAGCGATAAACCACCAACCTCTGACGATGAGTCGATCGATGCTGCGCTCTGTCCTGGAGCTCAGGACACCACTCACCCGCCTTCCGCCGACGTTCCTTCTCCCGATCCACACCCGGCGGTTTAACTCCACGGCACCTATTATCGAGCCCTCCGCCCTCGATGCGCCCCCGGTCGAACAGTCAGACGCGGCGGCAAAGCCCTCAATAGCACAGCAGGCCCAGGCCGCTGCTGTGAAGACCGCGACACCATCCACGACGACTACGCCGATCTCCGACTCGGTACAGGCTGTCCTCCCTTTCTTGGCCGCACAGCCCAATCACTACATCACCTTCCACATCCACGGACGACCCTACCTCGTACAGCCTGGGGACAGCGTACGCCTACCCTTCAAGATGCCTGGTATTGTGCCCGGTGATGTCCTCCGGCTCAACCGCGCCTCAGTCATCGGCAGCAGAGACTACACTCTCAAGGGCGCGCCCTTCATCGACGAGCGTGTGTTTGAGTGCCGCGCAGTTGTGACTGGCACCGAGAGCGAGCCCATGCGGCTCAAGACGAAGACAAAGAGGAGGCAGAGGAGGGTGAAGACGGTCAAGAGCAAGCACCGCTTCACAACATTGACCATCAGCGAACTGAAGATCAACGCACCCGAGGAGATTGAGGCCTGAGTCGATCATGCTGTGAAGAGGCATTAAGAATTGTTCGAGTATGAAAGAGGTGCATGTACAAAGTCATGGAACGAGACGATCCCTTGTACCAGTGTCGTATCCCAGTCGGGGCTGTATCAATAGGCAAACACAAAAATACTTTGAAGCTGCGCAAGATTTCAGGCGTGGTACAGTCGCTGAAAACGTTTGAAGCTCAACGGCTCAAGCTCAGATTGATTTGGACGCCGCGTCTATGCGAGTGTTTCCAAAAAAACACGTCCGCAATGCCCGAAGCCTCAGGAAGGTATGAAATACATACAGAAGAGAAGAGGAAAGGGAAAGGAAAAATAAAGACGCAAGATAAAAAGCTGTACCGAACAGCAGAACAAGAATCTAGACCAACCCGCCCCTGCCAAAAGAAACTCCAAGCTATGAATATTGCCCATGATCATTAAACCAAGGTGAAGTTGCCAGACGCCATTTTCTTGCAGGTCTCCAACATTGACGCCAGTTTTCATCATCTATTCGAATTCGTTGCTTTCTTTACACTCGACCAGTAGGCTGATGGCCAGACCGACATGGCCTCAGTCTCAGTCGGCATGCGCTCCCGACATCTTGTGACGACGCTTTGGATGATTCTACCAAGGAGCTCTTCGTCGACCGGGAGTGCCTTTTCACTCATCTCATTAGGATAGAGGAAAGGATCCGTCTCGTGCAAGAGCTCCTCGCATGTCGGCCGCATGTGTACTTCGCGGTTCAAGCACCGCCTCATGGTTCGCACTAGAGACGGGGGCACTGGGACACCACCCATGCCTCTTGAAGGAAATTCAATGTTGTGATCCCAGTTGATAATGGCTTGACATCGGGCCATCGGGTTTGCGATGTGGCCGAAAGGAGGAATGCCGTATACGAGTTGATAGAGAATACACCCGAGGGACCACACATCACTTGGTTTTCCCAGTTTCATCAACTTGGGTCTGCCGGGAACGCGACCGCCCCGGGGTGCGTTGGAGTCCATGAGGGATTCGGGAGACATATAGTTCGGTGTGCCAATTTGCGTTTCGCGGTGAACGTTCACTGTCTCGTCCGTTTGAATGGCGTTGGCGATGCCGAAATCGATGAGTTTCAAGCGACCTTTGACAAGGACGAAATTGGCTGGCTTAAGATCGGAGTGGACAATCTCACACTGGTGGACGGACTGAAGGCACTCGAGCATTTCTTTCCAATAGAAACGGACAAAGACAGAGTCAAACTTGGCTGCTTCAGGGTTTTGTCGGCTCCTGAGAAGAGTGTTAAGATCCAGCTCGCCCATCTCCATGAGCTAGAGAGAAATTAGCTGCGTCCCGAGTTCTACCGACAGGTGACTTACCAAAGTCAGCATCTTCTTTTCGTTATTCAGCTCGTAGTCGAAGAGGTTGATGACTCGGTCGTTGCCTGTCAGCTTGCTCAGCAGGTCAATTTCACCGCGGAACCCCCTGACGGTCGATTCGTCGGCGTGCTCCAGGGACACCCTCTTCAAGGCAAACATCGCTCCGTTTTCGGCAAGGACGCGGTAGACCTTGGCGCTACCACCTCGGCCCAGACAGTCAAGCCTGGTATAAGACTTTCCATTGACACGAAGGATATTTCGCCTCTGCTTCCCTTGAGATGTCGTGGCTGCTCCGGCCGAGGTGGTGGCAGCATCAAGAACCGACATTTTCGGCGGGGGAGGTGGCGCAGCGCGGCGTGGAGTGTTGTTCGCCAAGGAAGACAATGGCCTCCGTTCGGGAGATGCAGCAGGTCTGTGGCGTGCGGCATCGACGTTGGTAGGGCGCTTTGAAACTTTTTCAATGTCCTTTTCAGGGGGAATGGTGATGGCGGACTTGGAGCTTCTGAGGACAGAGTTGATCTCGTTTTCCTGGTCATGCGAAGATGGGATCTGCGGGCGTGGTGCAGGCAGCTTGTAGTGAATCTCCTCTGGCTCCTCCATCTCCTTGGGAGATAGGTCTGTGGCACGTGGTGCAGGGTCAGCATCGTATGCTGCCCTTCGATGACTTGCTCTTGAAGAATCGCCCATGGCTACCGGACTGCCCGAGGACATTTGCCTGCCATTGCCATTGCCATAGAAAGACGATGCGAGATCGTTTTCCATATCTTGGCCATGGCCATCATGATACTGACTTGAGATTAGCCCTTCGCCATCGCCATTAGCCTCCGCTTCTTCCTCGCTCTGTCTTCGGCGGCCACGTCGAGCAGGCCCACTAAGGAAGCTTCCAGGAATTTTGCCAACTCGCTTGACGCGCATGGAGCCTTGTAAAGCAAGGTTGTCCTCGGGCTTGACATTCCTTCCGACATTGGTGTGGCGGGATACGCTGCCGGGATTGATGCCCGAAACATGGCGTGCTGCAGTCACCGGTTCTTCAGGGTAGTCCTGGTCCAAGTGGGATCCTGAGCGTCTAGAATGGCTCGATGAACTGGTGAGACGACTTCTGTTGCCGGATGAGCCTGCGGCAATGCGGACAACGCGAACTCCCTGTGCGGGTGTATTAACGTCTTGAGTTGGTTCTTGCTTCTCATCCGAGGATTGGTCTCGGCTCTCCGGTCGACTTCTGGACAAAGGACGTTGGTTGGTCGATCGCGACAACGAGGTAGATCTTCTCTTTGTGGGACGCATCTGGCTGAGACTTTTGGGCGTGTTGCTCAGTCTGACAACTCGTTTTCGCACAGGGCTATTCTCCCTGCTCTTCAATGGCGACGTGAGCTTCGAGAGCTTGGTGTCATATGCTTGCACACTCCCAGAACGGAGAGACCTTCTCTCTTCAGTCGCGGAAGTCGTGGACGCGGCGAGGTTGCTGGCGCGACGTCGTGTTCGCGGCGGCGAAGGAGCGCGCTCCGGTTCGGGTGCACCTCCATCATTGAGCAATGCCTTGGTGAGAGCGCTGAGCTTCATAGGCACGGGGATCTCGTCGTCAGAGCTGTCGTGCATTGCGTACTGCTGCGAGTCTGATTTCTTTGAAAGCGTAGGCGCGACGGCGGTCGCGTGGACAGGGTTGGAGTCGCTTCGGTTGAGATGGGGGCGCGACGGCAGCCGTCGGAGGCCTTGTCTCTGGGAGGGCCTTCGCGAGAGGCCGGTTCTTGCGGTACCCAAAGGCGTGGGCGAGGCAGTCGACATGTCGATTTCGAGTGGTCGTTGGTGATTGTTTTTTGCAATTGTGAGCAACGGAATAAATGGGGCTGAACGACGCCACCCTCCACGTCTTGGCGACTGCACACCTTGCGCCGGAAAAAGCGATTGTTATGGTCAGCTAAACACTGATTTACGTGTCGATAGTGCCCATGATCCGGAATATTGCGAATGGAGAAGAGATTAGATTATGCGGCGCGTTACTAGCATCTTGTATGTTGGAGGGGATGCGTCGATTCCTTGTCAAGTTCGGGACGTTCCCATTATTTGGGGCTAGCAGGGGTCGGCCAATCAAAGGACACGACGAGGGGAATTGGTTGTCGGAGCAACGAAAGACTGGACGGGAAGAAAGCAAAGAGGCACATTCCTCGTCAGATGAAATTTGGGCTCTGCATCTTCACACATGCCTGAGGCCCAAGCGGTACAGTGTTTCCCACGCGTCTCTCCTTTTGAGTGGCCAAACCTTCTTACCGAGCGAAGCATCTTCCACATTATCCCTTTCAGACAGGGGTATAATTACGTGCCCTCGCTCACTCAATGCGTCGCAAACTACCTACCTAAGACGTTGCCCCGCATAAATCCGAGGATGCAGGCTGCGTAGTGGGTGAGAGCAATGCCATATACCTGAATCACAAAATCAAGTACCATGAACCTCTAAGCAGGACACCGATAACATCACGAATAATGCGACACACAGCGCATTCAAAGAACCAGCGAGCTTTTTATTTGACCGAACCTAGCAGGTGTTCCTACACAAACGTGTGCCGAAGCCCAACCCAAGAGAGATTTCCCCATGCGAATGACATGCGAAAACGTCGGTCGATTGCTGCATAACTTCTTCGATGAGACGGGGGCGCGGGGCCTATCATCAGGGACGTGAGAATGGCGCTTAGTCGAAGAGACCGAATCCCATGTCGTCGTCGGACTCCTCCTTCTCTGTAAATAGGTCAGCAAGGCTGTCAAACAAGCATTTTCAGACACGAGATCGTTCTTACCCTCCTCCTTGGCCTCCTCAGCGGGGGCATCGGCAGAGGCAGCGGCAGCACCGCCAGCAGCGGGAGCAGCACCACCAGCGCCACCGGAGGGAACGGAGGCGAGCTTGCCAGAGCCCTCAGAGATGAGCTGCGCAATTAGTTAGCATGCGTGGTCCTCCGCCATGTCGCAACCTATATTGATAAACGAACCTCGTTAATGTCCTTGCCCTCAAGCTCGGAGATGAGCTTGTTCAGGCGCTCGTCATCGGCCTCAATGCCGACGGACTCAAGGACAGCCTTGACATCGCTGGCAGAGGGAGAGGTGTTGCCACCAAGGCCGAGGAGAAGGTAAGCGGCGAGGTGCTTCATCTTGAATATGGTTTTTCTGTGGCGGAGGGGTATTAGATAAGGGCTTCGACAATTTTCGCGACGGCGGCGGCAATGCAACGAATGGTCGACAATGCTGATCGTCGTCGAAGATTGGATGTGCAGAGACAGACTCACAGTTTGTCGTAGAGAACACGAGAGGTCAATCAATTTAACCGCGAAGTTGGGCGGAGACTGAATCTTCGAGTCCTGGAGGATATTTCGCGTGGTTGTTGCGATTCGGAAAGTTTGCGAAAATCGAACTTTTCCCCCGTTTTGTGAGCGGAGGGCTTAGGGCGGGGACTGGCGGTGGCTAGGGACCTCCAGTAAGTGTCCTATCCCGTGTGACCTTCCTCCTGAGGGCCGCACCAGCCACAATGATACCTGTTCGCCATTTCATCGCTAGTGCAGCTGGTGCACCCAAGCCACACATCGATTCACGCGACTACGGTCCTGAAGGCTTAGTAGATACCTTAAGCCCGGAACCGGAGCCAAGCAGCTTCCGAAGAGGCTAACAGGCTGGATGCTCGGCTTTGGTGGACAGCGCTGGAAGTACCAGTGATTCCACCCCCCCAGTCCAATAGATATAAACTTGCCGATGCCAACGCCACTTCTTTTTGTTTCCCCGACACCCATCTTTCGATTTTTACGCCTGCTGGTTGTCTAACCCGTGCGCGTCGCGCCCGCCTTTTCATTTTTCGCAGAATTTCTCCTCATTTTTTTCGACTTCCCGTTACCCTCCGGTCCTAGACGGTTTTCTGCCCGCGTGTCCAGTCCTTTTCAGAGAGGCGGCCTGAATCGCAGAAACTCAAGTTCCCATACCTCCCATTATTGATGACTCAAGCGTCCGCCTGATGCATCCTGACGGCCACTGCAAGCAACCTAGACACTTGCTTGACGATACTTGGCTCTAATAGTCTGTCACTATGCCTGTAAGCATCAGATGCCTGGGGTGTCCGATCTTTGTGAATATTATGACGCGCTGACACTCGCGCCTATACAGATCGGAGATCTCCTCGCCCAGATCAGTGGCGACAAGTCACAGAGCACATCGCCAGCTCCATCCAGACCATCCATCCCCCCTCCGAAACGGAAAGCGGATGACGACCTCCGCAATACCGTCTCAAATAAGATACCGCGAACGAGCGCAAACGGCATCGCCTCTTCTGCCCCTTCGAAGCTGGCAGATACCCAGAGATCCGCACGACCTACAGAAAAGACAGCGACGACTACTACAGGCTATCGAGGCAGTGCCGGCCGACCCTCCGACCGATCAGCATCTGCGCCTAAGCTTGTCGGTAATGGCAGCACAGCAGCGAAGCCTAGCTCTTCCGGGGCTAGACCGCTGAATGGCTCTAGCACGTCGAAGGTCACCTCGACCCTGCCGAGTCGACCATCGCCATCCGCTCCAAGCGCGGCACCCAAGTCGGGAGCTCCTCCGAAGAAGGGGTCTTTCGCAGAGATCATGGCGCGGGCCCAACAAGCCCAGACCAAGATGGGCCAAGTCGGCAAAATCCAGCATAAGCCTGTGGAAAAGGTCTTCACCAAGAAGGAGCGGGAGGAGATGAAGAAGGATGCCAAGAAGGACCCAAAGGCTGCTGCAAGGCAACCCTCTAAGTTCCAGGGGAACGCAAGACCATCGGCAGCAGCCGCCCCGCCACGCAATGGAACAGGTGCCAGCCGAAATGGGCCGGTCGACAGAGCAAAGGATCCCCGAGCTGTTTCGAAGGCACGCGCTGCGGTTGCCGAGGAGGAGAACCAGAAGAAGCTCAAAAAGGCCGCCATCGCAACGACTGGGTACACGGGCACCGCCCGTCCAAAACCCGGAGCAGCGTCGGCCAAGAAGAAGCCGGCTCCCGGAGGCGCGCTACTCAACGCACGTCCCGCCCCACGCTATGGAGGCTCCGCGAAACGGTCCCGCTACGACGAGGAGGAAGACGAGGAACTCGACGACTTTATTGAATACGACGAGGACGAGGAGGAAGCTGGCCCTCGCTACACGTACGACTCGGATGGCTCTTCAGACATGGAGGCTGGCATGGACGATGTGTGGGAGGAGGAAGCTAGGGCAGAACGTGTGGCGCGCCTCGAGGATATCGAACAGGAGAAGCTCGAGAAGAGGCTGAAGGCTGAGAAAGAGGAGCGCAAGCGCAGGTTTTTCGAGCAGCAGAGAGCGCGACGCTAAGGCTATCTCGCCGTCGAGAGGGGCATCTGGTACACCAGATTGGGGGTTAGAGGCATTTCTATTGGCAAAGGCGTGGTAGCATCAACATTAGCGACGGCGTTCATTTTTGTATTTTTGCTATTACTGGAACCGGAGAGACTGCTCTGCATTATCGTACGACTGGCCGGGTTCTCCCATTTTCTTCTCCTTTTCTTCCCAAGTATTCCGTCACTTGGGAAACAGGCATGCACGTGCAGCAACGCAATGATACCTTGGAGGCTAGCCAAATGGTGACCCAATGTCATTATGTCTGTGTATCCAGTATCTGGCCGATGCAGCAAGCAAGCTCTTTCAAGGCCAATGTCAATTTCTGACCAAGGCTGGACGAATCTGCGACATGCACCTTATGAGGACATGGCCACGTAAGACGTCCACCCTTCTGCTAGGAATGATTACCTTTACATAGTAATAAACTGGACGGCATCTTTCTGCACTGATTGACGAGGAAACCGTGTTCGCAATCCATTCTATATCATTTCGAACGCTAATCCCTCCTTGGGTATCGATCGCAGCCATGCCAGACTGCAGTCCGCCCCAAACTCCTTCAACGATACCAGAAATGCGACAAGGGTTGAAGATGTATTTGCATGGAGCTACTAAGCCCCCTTTCCTCCTCGACCGAGAACTCTGGTGAGTGTGCTACTTGGGTGGCTGGTGAAAGAAGTCACACAAGGCCTTTACTCGCGGTGGCCCTGCCACTTTTTGTTGGTGTTGTTACACGCGATCTGGGATCGCAACTTTGCAGGTGAAGCTCTGGATGCTTTTGACTTGAACGAGGAAACCCAGAACATGGCCCGCCTGTCCGTTTCATTTTGAGCATAATGGAAGTGAAAGAAAAGAGGCCGGCCAAAAGAACTACTGCCGCCTTTTCGACTGCCTCCGTCTCCCCGAATTCTCTTGAGGTTGAGTTATAATCAAATACAAAATACAAACATTGCCGCGAGTACGAACTTGTGCATCAGGATGACTTCTCCGCCGAAGCGAGAGACCCTTTGCAGCACTGGAAACCGCCATACTCAGACGGAAGAGGCGTAAGACCTCGACGTGCGGGGTCTGGGTGTACAAAGCTCGAGCGTTCGTAGGGTTTCCAAGGTCTTTGTCTGGGCGATGCCAGCATACTATGGGAGATCTTCCGACTTGAGACCCGAGTTCCCATATCCGCTCAGATTCCAGCCTTTGTATCTAACAGTAGATCCGCCACTGCCTGTTGACAATGCAGAGGGAGGTGGCTTGTGTGGAGGAAGCCCATTATGATGCTTCAGTGGCGGTGCTGGAAGCGAAGCAGGCGCGGCAGGGAGATTGCTGGACTTTTGGCGCGAGTCAGACTGGGAGGCATGTGAGCCACCTGCATGATGCCCCTTGGAACCGTCAGGCTTTTCTTCAGGCTTCATTAGGCCTTTCTCTCTCAAGTATTGAATCGATTGCAGAACAGTGAGATCTTCCTGGTCCTTGTCGTTGAGAATCAAACGCTGCTGGATAGTGAGATGGCCGTTGTTCGCTTCTCTGTCTTTCATTGCTGCCTCTCTGACAGCAGGATCGTGGACGAAGCGGCACTTGCCCTTCTTGCCGCAAGTACCTCCCGTAGAGTAGTACTTGCAATGCTTTGAAATGTCTGCCTTCTTCGCCGGAGGGGGTGGAGGGGGAGGTGGCTGAACACGACTTGACGCCACTTCCGGCTCGTCATCTTCAGACTTGATATCAATGGAAGGGCTGTCTCTCATTTCATCGCCCTCGTCTTGCTGCTCACGCTTGCGCTTGATAGACGACTCAACCTTCTCCAGCTGCCTTCGCAGCTTACTGGCAAGATTCTCCTCTTTCTCCAAATCAGATGAAATCTTATTGCCATTGCCCTGCGTGGTCTCGGCAGACTTCTTGGCCTTGACTCGCGCGGCAGTAGGGAAGCGCTTCTTCCGCTCAGCAATGTAAGCATCAATATCGTTCACCCTGCGAAACTCGGTCAGCTACTATGATGTCGTAACTTTGCATTCGACTTACTGTAAGGCATCTGCTCCGATGAGTTTGCGAAGGGTCTCCTCCTCCATCTCGTCGTCTTCCGACTCCGAGTCTTGACCTGGAGTCAGACCAAGGGTGTTGGTCTTGCGCTTCTTCTTCTTGCCTGATGCCGCATTGTCATGCTTATGATGGGAACCTCCGCCATCTTGGCGATGATTGTGACTCCCCTGTGAACGATGACGACCTCTGTCGTTGGTGTTAAATGAGCCCCGACCTCGAGGGTTGCCACCACGATGACCACCACGACCGCGACCTGCTTGTCCATCATGTTTGTAAAACGGTTCACGGGGAGGGACCGACGCGTGAGGTGCAGGAGGGGGCGCGTGGTAAGGATATTGTGCCGGGGGCTGATATGGCACTGGTGGAGCGCGAGGATCGACATACGGCTGGCCGTATGCACCATTCGCTTGATGGTGTCCTCCATCACTACCGTAAGCTACTGGCGCAGGTGTGCTCATATTATGAGCTCCTCGAGAACCGCCTCGGTCGTTTCCATAGCCGCCTCGGCCACGGCCCGCACCATACTGGCTTGGAGCGTGAGGGTCATGACCTGCCCATGGTTGGGGAGCGCTGTATGGTGCGGGCGGGGCATAAGGCTGGCTGTAGGGCTGCTGCTGTGGCTGCTGAGGCCCATAACCTGGCTGATGGGGCGGCGGCTGAGGCTGCTGCGGGTGCGCATAGATCTGAGGGGCATAGTTCGGATGATAGTTGGTAGTCGACAGCGGCGCAGGAGCATGAGCGCCATGCTGAGGAGCATTGTGCTGAGGCGTACCATGTGCATGATCTTGGTGCCACTGCTGCTGGTGAGGGTAGTTGCTGGCAGCAAGCGGCTGGGCGGGATAGCCAGGACTGTGCTGAAGATACTGCTGCTGTTGCTGCCGTCCATACTCGTACTGGGGTTGAGGGGCAGGGGGGTATTCGGGACGGCCGTTCGACGGGTAACCGCCACGCCCGCCCCGAGAGGCATGGGTAGCGCCGCCCCTAGGATGTTGTTGATAAGGGGTGTTGTGATGGCCGTATCCAGCATGGCTAGCCTGTGCTGCTGGAGGGGGCGGCGGCGGCGGACCGTAATTGTAACCTGACATATTGTCTTGAGGACGTCGGCGTGACCTTGTTATTTTCGCGTTCGAGTCGCAGGCAAGCGCTGAGTCGAAGAGTATAGCGTCAGGCAATGACGAGGCGTGTTCTACTTGGAACGGGTCTCGAAGAATTCGTACTACGAGGTACTGTTTGGATAGCGATGGGGATGGAGTTGGAGGAAGGGAGGTAAAAGTCGTGTTCACACCTAGCGTCGACAAAACAAAGACATCAAACGTCTGGGAGACGCAAAACTCGAGCAACTTTCAACGGGCCAAAAGAAAGGGATGTGAAGGGATGGAACCAACAGCTTGACGCAGGTAGGATCCTGGACGCGGAAGCTGAAGTAGGTGGTGGAGCCAAATAGCTTTCTACGGCAAGGTTGGTCGCGATTTCGGTTTCCGCATTAACAGTTCCAGCGGCTCGCGACGGCATGCTTAGGCCAAGATGGGTAGGCGTGGCGGGTCACATCTAGCGCACCGCAGCCTCCGAAGTGGGCAAGTGCTAAAACTTGATTTAGCGGGCGGTAAGACTCAGACTCGCTGCCTCGGACCAGGCGCCCCGCGATTTTGCCTTATGCGACTTGGCTGCGCCAAACCAGGACGAATCGTGACACTCTCCGAAATATCCATTCATGCCGGTGCAGAGAGGCGTTGAGGGGAACCAACGATGCTCTTGGAGCCCTAGAGAATTCTTCAACACTGGGATCTTTTGACTTGCCAAAGTGCACCTACCCGAAGGACGAAAACGGCTCAGCATGTTCATCCTGGTAGGTACTCCAAACTCACAAAATTTCACTGTAATTGTCACTAACACGGTCCCAATTAAAAAAAAAGACCAAGATCGCCGACCTTGTCGAGATCGCGCCAGAGGACTTTCGCAAGAAGAGCGTTACCGCCATTGAGGATAACATCAATGCAAAGTACGCGAATAAAGTTATCCAGAAGATTGGTCTCTGTATCTGCCTGTACGACCTCCTCTGGACCTCCGAAGGTCTCATCGGCCATGGCACGGGTCTGGTCAATGTCAATGGTTTGTCATTACCATTCTCATATAGTTGGACTTTCTCTGTACTGACTGCGATCAGTTGAGTTCAGGCTCATTGTCTTTAGACCTTTCAAGGGTGAGGTTATGTTTGGCAGGATCAGAAGTTCAACGCCAGCCGGCATCAATCTGAGAACCGATTTTTTCGATGACATCTTCATTCCATTTGATGAGCTTCCCGAGGGTGCTGAGTTGTACGTCCAGCATGCTCCACCAACTCATTGAGAAAGCAGCTAACACGCCGTCAGTAACCACTCGGAACAGCTTTGGATTTGGAACATCGAGGGTGATAGACTTTTCTACGATAACCATGAGATGGTCAGGTTCCAGGTCATCGACGAGGAGTGGCACGACCAGACGCCTGTAGGCCCAAGTCAGGGAGAGGAAGCTGCACCACCTAAACCACCCTACAAAGTGAAGGGCACCATGGCTATGGAGGGTCTCGGCGTTTGCCTCTGGTGGGATGGACAAGGCAGCGAGTAGGACTCGGGAGGCCCTTGGCCTGTCACCAAATATTTCATCATCGACGACAGTGTGGACTTGAAAGGATGAGGCGTATGGATGGCGCGGATTCTACATGATTCTACAATACTATGATTTGATCCCCGCGAGCAGTCTCTGCTCCACGTCATCCAGAACAGAGTAGTGCTCAACAACGGCAATGTTCTCGGCCTCGCCCTTGAATTGCTTGTCCGGATCGACGCCAGGACCGAACATCTGGGGGGCTCCCTGAGCACCTCCCATCTGTCCCATTTGCTGAGCCATCTGGCTGGCAGCTTAAAAGGGGTTAGCACTCCGAAGGACAGAACCGGGGTAAATCTTAACTTACCATTGTCACTGCCCAGGATGAAGTTGAAGACGGACTGCAGACCAAAAATGCAAAGGAAGTACCAACTGATGCTAGACATCCAGCGGGGATCCATGTCCTTAGTAGCAACACCCGCCTGCAACATGCTCTTGAACTTGATGGTGATGGGGAACGGCAATTTCACTAAATTTGTCAGCGTCAAATCTGCCATCTTCACCAAACTCCCCAAGACATACTGATGACATATCCGCTGAAAAAGGCGTTGATCCAACTCATAATAAGCGTATTGGGAATGATCATAGCCATGTTGTTCTTCATCATGCCCATCATGCCGTCCATCGCGCCGGGGTCGGTGAGCGGGTTCGCGGGGGGTTGGCCCTTGCGGTCGGGGTCCTTGAGATACGCGCCGGACTCGTAGGCTGCGACGAGCGCATCGCGGCGCGCCTCGAACGACTTCTTAGACAGGACGTGATGGTTGGTGCGCACCGTAACACCGTGCATCATGGCGCGCTGCTCCTTCAGCGCCGGCTTGTCGAGCTTCTTGGGCGGCGTGGCGAGAAGAACAGTGACATAGTGTCGAAGGATGCCGGTGAGAATCATGACCACCGTGATCGGAAAGAGGATCCAATAGCTGTTCAACATTTAATTAGCACGCGGAACTAGATGATGACGGCGGAACCGGGTTGGTATACAGGAGCTGTGGATCCCGGTAAATCGTCTGCACCGGAACTTGAGCCATGATGGGCTTATTTGACGAACAGTGCCGGGTATCGGGGGAAAGGAGAGGATTGTGATGGCGTTCGTCGATGCGATACTGCCAGGTGGTTGTGTGCTCTCCCGTTGCATCCAGCCAATCTGGTAGTGTTGGTATGGGACCTTGACAGTGGGTGGAAGCTCCTCCGGCGGTTTGTTTCGCCGTGCCTCCGAAAGACCACCTTCCACTTTCACTACACGGATTCACACAAGGGTCCAAGCTGTCCTAGCTCTGAAAGCCAGGCTGGAGGTTACAAGAAACCATCGCACTCAACGCCCGTCGAACCCCTGCATAGCTGTCAATTCTACAAAAGACTTCCCGCGAAATCACCAGGCACGATGTCTTCTTCCGAGAGAATAACGGTTTACAACTTGGCGGGTAAGCATCTCATTCCTCCGACTCAGACATGTCGTCGCATCGCACTAACACGAAGCTCCAAAGACCTCAAGAACACCTCGGACGACGCGCTTCCCAACTACCTTAACTCCCTCAAGTTTACCCAAACCCACACCCTAACTGATGTTCGCCTCGCGCTCGGCTACTCTGCCTTCCTGATCGCCGGCGCATGTTTTCTGTGGGACTATAAGCTTGGCTTCGAAAGCACCAAGTACTACACTGCGGCCGCCGTGGCCCTCTACTCGCTCCTTAACGGTGCTCTGACGCTATGGATCTGGCTCAAGGAGGCGGGTACTATATATGAGGGCACATCTCCCTCGGGCGAGAAGGTGAGAACCGGCCTACCTCGTCCTTCTTACTGACGATCAATTCCCTACGCTTGCCGACCCATGACTTACAACCGACACCAGATCAATATTGCAACCTCGACCAGGAAGAACGACCCAACCTATCATATGAAGATCACCATCACTTCCAAAAATGGTGAAAAGAAGTCGCTTGATCTCTCGAAACCTTTCGCCGAATGGTTCGACTCCCAAGGCCACTTCGTCGCCGTCCCCTTCCAAGAGGTCCTTGCCACAAACATCTCTACCATCGGCAAGCTTGACCCAAAACGCGTCAAGTCTGCATCTCAGACGTACTCAACTGACGTACTCGATGCGCTGTATGCGGAAAGCACGGCGACGGGCAGCGTCGCCGAGGCAAACAAGGGCGTAAGCAAGCGACGCAAGGCATAAAACGAATAAATTTACAAAAAGGGATTTGTGCAATGAAACGATACGTTCATAGTTATGTATGCTATGGAAAATCAGGGTGTTTCAAAAGCACGGAGTTTACGTTTCGTAGCGCATACCCATTTAAACATGTAGGACGCCTTGGTGAACCGTCTCTGCGTATGCAGTGCCCAGTGACCTTTGGTGCAACGAGTATTCTCTCGTAGACTACCCGTCCTAGCTCTCATTAGCTCAGCAGCCACACCAAGGAAGCCTTGAATCTCAGAGTTAATCAGAGCTAGAGGTTTGAGGATGATGCATAGATGGAGGAGCCTATTTCAACTAGGGCATCGGTCACAACCACAGCACTCATAATCAATTTCTTCAAACCTGTTTCAACTTCTGGTTTATTAGAGTAAACTCTCTCCTCTTCTCAATGCGCACTATGGAACCTCCAAACGCCTTGCCATGCCGACATTCCTACCACTATGCCGCCTTCCCAATCCCTCACCAACTTTGGGTAGTCCAACACGTACCACTCAACTAGCGTCCCTTCTCCATGTTCCATCACGCCCGGAAATGAAAACACGAATTCCCATTCATCTTACCAAGCATCGACGCCTTCAGTTGACTTCATCCCACTTAGCGCGGGCTGTCAGAGCAGCCTCGCGAACGTTACGCACCCTGTCACCTGAAGCCTGCGCCAACAAACGCTTAGCCTGCGACGCCGAGTCAAGCAGATGACGGTGCTCGAATTGAACGGGGAGGAGGCCAATGATGCGAACGACCTGGCAGCGACACTGCGATCTCCAGAGTCCAGAGTGATCGAACGGTATGTAGCCCGCCGGCATCCATGCGCCGTCTTCGCCAGACTGCGTTCCATTTCTGTTAAAGACGGACATGCAAGCCTCGATGACGCTCTTCAAGAAGGGCTGGACCCGCTTGGGCGAGTTCTCCGTGACGTTCTGTAGGACACTGAGAGCGGCCGCCACGTCCTTGGTCGCTGGCAAGTATCGGATCGCACAGAGGATCAGTCTGATCAGGTCTTCCGTGTCATCTTCATAGACCGGGTATTGCATGTACTTGACAGCTGCGAGGACAGCAATACTGTAATTCGCAGCAGTGAGCATGTCGTCTCTGCTGTTCGAGCCAGCAGGCCAGGCCTTGGCCAGCATGGGCTTGATCATCTCGAAGTAAGCTCTCTGAACCCAGAGAGGGCGGATTTGTCCGTAGTACTCTTTCTTGAGAATGTCGAGACCGCCGAAGATGAACTCAAGGTTACGGCTTAGCATGTGGCCGATCTTCTTGTTGTTGGGTCCTTGTTGGATAGTTGCCAGGAGCTGCCGGAGCGAGCTGCCGCTGTAGCGTCTTATAATGCCCGCAATAATGGCATACACGGGTCTCGCCAGCTCCGCCCTGATCTCATCAGGTCGTCCGCCAGGTACCATGTTGGCTTCGTGCTCAAGGAAGCCCGTAATTTGCTCTAACTCGTCGGACTGTCTCTCTTCACTTACAACAAAGTTCATCTGCAGCTGCAGCATTGTGACAATCTCGTCCAGCTTTTCGACGGGGTATTTGTTGGAGATGATCGTCAGGATGGCCGAAACAACATGACGGCATCTGGGCGAGGCTGAGTGGTCTCTTGCAAGGAGACCAGCGATGAGAATCTGGTGTGCGGTTCCTCTTTCGACCTATGAAACGATTAGATTTGGAATTTCAGCAATTGGCTTGGGTTCATTCTTACCAGGCGCTGAATTGCTGTTGGGTGGAAGGGCTGGAGAATACCGAGAGAGAGGATGACAGTACGCCCCTGACTGAAGCCGCTTATGGGAAACTTGGGAGGGTTTGTCATACTGTACGAAGCCTGAGGAGCCCAGGTTCTCAGCATAGCGTCCCGCAGCTCGGAATTGTGCCAAGGATGTCCGGCTTGAGGGTCGGGATGATGATACTCGTCATCTCCACGGAAGAGGGTTACAACCTCCTCATTCAGAAGCAACCTGGTCTGCTCGAGCTCAGTCATCTGCTGAATGACAAATGTAGCAATTTCTGAGAGAACATGCAAGTAGTTGTCTTCGATCTTCCTGTCGTCTGGGTCCTTGCAATGGAAATCATCACTCAGCGCGAGGGAGAGTTCAGTATCGTTGGCGTAACTGATGATCTTGGTGGCACGTCTGTAAAGTTGCCGTACCACGAATAGGCTGGACAAAATAAATTCTCCGTGTAACTGATCGCCGCCGTAACTCACGTTCTTTGACTGATCATCGACATCCATCGCGTCCTCGCCATGATTGGAAACGATGTTATCGTCAAACCGCGGAAGGTCAGGGTATCGATTGGCGACATGGCTGAACCAATCGAGCGAGAACCGCTTATCATCGAAATCATTCGTTTTGGAGCGCGGGTGCAATGCTTCGACCGCCCTCTGGCAGAGTCTCATTGCCAAATGTATTCCAGAAGCGAGTATCCACCAAAGTCTAGGGTGTGCTTTGGAATCGAGCATCGAGTGTAGAATTACGAGAACCGCGTTGAGGTACGAGATGTATCCGCTGAGCGCGTTGCCTTGGCGAGGAATCTCGTAGCAGCAAATGAAAGCCAGTCTGTGGATCCTTTCCTGTAGAATCGGAGCCATCGTTGGAAGAGTTTCCGGCTCAGGGGAAGCGATGTACATCTCGCATAGTCTGAGGCAGTCTTTGATAGCCTCTGCCCGACCTTGCGGATAAGCCATCAGAGCCTTCTGTAGAGCGAGAACAGCATCGTTCTCTAGTTCGGAGCGGGCTTCGGCCATCGTAGGCTGTTCGGAATCCTTGAAGATGACGCTTGCCAAACCGTTGCAGATTTCGGAGAGTGTTGAATCGGGAAGCATAGGTTGGGTGGATTCTCCTGTCTGGGCTGCTCGCTGGCAAACCATCAACCCAAGACCTTTAATCGCCTGTTGGCCTATTGCAATATCCTCCTTCTGAGCTGTATCCTCGAGAGCTTTCTGGAAAAGAGGCAGGTACGTCTGGTTGTGAAGCGGGCAAAGCATTTGTTCTGTTGCCTTGAAAGCCTGGGCATCCTCTACGTTCAATTGCACACCTCCTCCAATAAGGGCTTGCCGAAGCTCGAGCAGGGAGTTTAGCAATATCAAGAGATTCTTGGTATGCTCAGGTGACTTCGTGTGACGAAGGTTCTCTTTGACATGAGTAACTGAAGGAGCAACCATGAGCGCAAAAGCAGCAGGTTTTGCGCTGTGAACAGAGATAAGAAGCTTCCCAGAAGCTGCCGTGTAGATAGGGTTTGACAAGTCCTCCAAGCAGTCACGCTGGACAGCGAGGGCAAAGTCTCTAAGTTCAGCTCCTGTGAGTCGTTTGGCAATGGTTCGGATGACCTCCAACGTGGCGTTGATTGTGTCCTCGATTTCTCCGTTGCGGACTTCGTACTTGAGGCTGCTCCAAATCTTATCCGCAAAGGGCGCAACTCCTTGCTGGACATGCTCGTAGTTGCCCAAGCATGCAGTCAGGGTCTTGAGAATATCGACCTTTCACAGTATCAGTGCAGGTCTTTGGATTGCAAAGAGGAAGTTGAACAAACCTTGACGTTAACAGTCACACTGTCCGGTTGGTCCAACCTACTGAGAAGGTACGGGATGGCCTTGCCAGCTACACGGTGATGTGCTGAAAAACAAGCCCTCAAAGCAAGCTTCAGATCATCTGCTGTGATTCCTGATGGGTGTTGGGACGTTCTTAAAGAAATGGGGAAATATGCAGAGAAGATGCTGAAGATCTCATCGACAACCTCTGGCCCAGGAGAATACTCTGAGAGGAACACTTTCAAGATCTTGAACCATATCATCAGGCATCGAGGGTCTCTCTCGTTACGGCATAGTTGCAAGAGGTCTGTGATGAAGCCAGCGGTTGTACCGTGTTGGTATTGCAGGTCATTGTTGACATCTAGGTTAGTGACAAGGTAGTCAAGGAGCTCATACACAGCTGCACGCGTGTCTGCTACCTGGGCCTTAAAGTCGTCCCGGAGACTGCAAACACTATTGATAATGTCGTTTCCTTTCTCAGGCTGAAAAGCCTTCATGCTGGCAGTTCTTTTGAGTGCCTTGGCAGCTGGTAGTATGCCAGCTTTGTGGTCAACCTTGAACATGCTGCCAAAGAAGGTCACAAGCAGATTGACTGAAAGGTTAGTATTAGCAGATTTGCGGCAAATACGAAGGATGGCTCTACTCACCTTGATCCGGCTTGAGAAACTCGGGGTCCAAATGATCCAACGTGCCAGCCAAGAAGCTCAATGCTAGAGGAAACGGAACGAGTCAACATCGACAGGTGATCATTCTGGTTGTATTCTTCGCCTACCTTTGGATCTGGCAATGACGTCACCACTTGTTTCTCCATCTTCACCCTCTTCCATTTGGTCGTCATTGGCACTCGGCATCCAAGGTCTGATGGACTCAACCCATCTTGCGACTGGGTTGCTTGGTCTGGGTGCTGATTGGATGGCTGTGTCACAGTCAGTATTCTGTCTGGGCTGTTGAATCTGATAGGAACAGGTTATGAGGTGGCGTGCATACCTGAAGCTGCCTCCCGTACTATTGTTGCCTGTCTTTCGATATCGTCACTGAGGACGAACTCGAGTGCCAGTTTCCGGAAGTCTGCCATGATTGCACAGGTAGCTTGTTCGTACTCAAGCGTGGCCTGTTGCAGTAGGGGTACTTGCAGTTTGGCTTGCTAGGGTGATCGATTTGCTGCAGAAACAAATTGCGATCTAAGCTCTTGAGGTCGAAAAACTGCAAAAGCGAGCTGCGGTCTGCCTTATTGTGTGCGGTCGGTCTCAGGAGTTGGATGCAATGAAAACCTCTCGATGTTGGTATCAGGCTAGAACTGTCTTGAGCGGGATCGTAAGGGCCGTATATTTCTATAGTCGGCAAGCTTCTGGTGGCAGTAGCAACCGTGAGTTCTCACTGTTGCTCCCAAGCCTCAGTCGCTCAAGTACCCAAAGAACTATCTTTTGGTAGTTGATGGGCCACAAAGTGTAGCCGCGAAGGTGAAGACTTGTTGCTGGTTTGGAATAGTGGATGTGTCTCTCTTGTTCGAGCTCCAAGTTGACAGTTGAGATGTGATGCCAAGGAAGTGGCCGTGTGAAATATCGTCATAAGTCGAGTTGCCTAACCTCACTTCGTACTGAATCTGACCCCGCGCCTTTGGATGCAAACCGGAGCAGCGACCTAGTTGCTGTGCTCGTAGCGTTTGTTATCTGGACTGATATGACGGTTTGAAATCCGAAGCAAAAAATGCGCCGGAGTCGAGGCTTAGGCCAAAAAAAACTATATGAAATTGTCTGGCGTCTGGCTCCTCGGGGTTTTGTCAAAGGCGTTCCTGGCTTCATGCCACCGAAAATCGGTGGTGGGTTGTGAGATAATTACTCAGACTTGCTGGGTTAGTAGTAGTGGGGGAAGGTCCGATAGGGAAAGCGGTATATGTCTTATCGACCTTATCGCGGTCTGGAGGAACCAACCCTCCGACAGCGCGGCATCTCCCAAGGCTTAGCGCAGCCGATGAGCTCCTTCAACCTGAGTGCCGCCAAACTGCAAGGCCCTGGTTGGAAACATTTGAACAATAAAAGAGCTACTTTTGAATCGCTTCAACAGGATATTTCGTCGATATCAGCTTGATATTTGTTGTTGTTCGCAGCCCCGAAAGGAATTTTGATGAACGAACGCAGACACCCCTAGTCCTATTCGGGTAAGAGGGCATGGAGGGGTAGCACAGGCCGCGCAGGGGCCGCGGGGTCCTGTACCAACGACGAAAAAAATTTAGAGTGTCCAAGTCGGAGGTTGCCCCTCCAAAAGACCCGGACGGAACCATTTACTCGTTGGAATCATAATTTTTCTCACTTCTGCCGCCTCAACCTACCCTTAAAAGCTCGAAACAACCAAAGGACCGGCTGCACCATCTTCTGCTATACATCTGTCCTTCTAAAGCAGTTAGTGTCTTCTTTAATCCCACCCGAAATGCCACTATAACGCAATGTCGCGGGGTCGGAAGTGGTGGGGCATCTCATAAGTACTAATTTGGAGGTTAGACGCCGAAGGGCAACTCACTCCAGCCCAGACCATCGTGAGTATTCACAAGTGTTTAAGGGACTCCGGCTAATATGGAAAAAAGAATACTTGAATCGGTCCTGGAGCTTTGATTGCAAACATGGCCTCCAACGAAGTAGTTCCCAAGACCTGCAAGGTCATTTTGGCCGACACCATCGCCAAGCGCCTCCTGGCCGAGGTCCACGACACCCTCGCAAAGGTGCAGGGCAGCGGCATCTTCAAGCCCACACTGGTGGCATTTCTGGCCAACGACGACCCGGCTGCACTGCAGTATGCTGAGTGGTCTCAGAAGACCTGCGTCGAGAAGTAGGCCGACCCCGCCGTCACGCAGACTTAACGGTTTGCGTTCGTGGAGCAAAGTGAATAAATAAGTGTAGAGGTACTGACATACGCCTTCTTTTTTCTCTCACAGCGGTTTCAACTTTGACTTGCGCCGGGTCGACAAGGAGCAGCTCGAGGACAAGATCACCGAGGCCAACGAGGATGACAAGGTTGATGGCATCATCGTCTACTACCCAATCTTCCCGGGCAACCCGACCCATGACAAGTACATCCAGGAGACCGTCTCCTTGGCAAAGGATGTCGAGGGCCTCTGCCACAAGCACATCTTCAACATGTACCACAACGTCCGCTTCCTAGACCCGCCCCAGAACCTGAGAAAGTCCATCCTACCCTGTACGCCCCTTGCCGTTGTCAAGATTCTGGAGCACCTCCAGATCTACAACCCTATCCTTGCCTACGGCAACCGCCTCTTTGGTAAGACCATCACCGTCATCAACAGATCCGAGGTCAACGGCCGTCCTCTGGCGGCCTTGCTGGCCAACGACGGCGCCACGGTGTACTCGGTCGACATCACGGGCGTTCAGCTGTTCACCCGCGGTAAGGGCATCAAGCAGATCCGCCACCAGGTAGAGGACAAGGAGGGCTGGGGTCTAGAGCAGGTTTTGCCCATCAGCGATGTCATCATCGGCGGGGTCCCCAGCGAGAAGTACAAGATCTCGACCGATCTCATCCGCGAGGGTGCTGTCTGCATCAACTTCTCCTCGTTCCGTAACTTCGACGCCCCTACGGTCAAGGAGAAGGCCGCCATCTATGTCCCGTCGGTCGGCAAGGTCACCATTGCGTGCTTATTGAGAAACTTGGTGGTAAGTTTAACCCCTTCATCTGTAAGGCTTTGTCGGAGAAGAAGGTATTGATTGCTTCCTAGCGTCTCATCGCCAACCGTCCTACGACTAAGGACAATGGCAACGAGGACGCCTCCACTGCGCAGGCCAGAAGCGAGGCTTTCGCCGAGGGTTAAGCGTACACATGGAATTGTTAGGGCACATTTGGGTTGGCTGAAAAAGTAGACAAAGGCATTAGAGAATTACTTATACCTGATCAGCCGTACGGGAAGGATCACTTGAAATTTACATGGACGGGATGGCAGGGAAAAAAAGAATAAGACATAGATAGACTACACGGGGATATCCATGATATTTCGACATAGAAAGAAAACGCGCATTTGCCCGTTTCACAATCCGCCCCAGCGGGACGATGTTGAATTTGAAAGCGTTACTCAGTGGTCGAATCTGAGGTGATGATCTTTGGCATGAGGATAGAGGCCTTGACGTTCGCGACGACACTGTTGTCGTTAGCCGTATTGCTGGACGGCATCTGAGATAGAGAAGGAGTAGATCCGGTCTCTGGACATTCCTTCACGCATGGCGGGGATATGCAACGGACAATGTGTATACTGGGACGGTTCATGGTCGAAGGAATGTCTCGGGCGATGCGACTGTTGGCTTCCTGGTGAGGAGTCTTCAACTTAGATGAAGATCAACACCAAGATCGAACGAGATAGGCGACGAGATCCGGGCGCGGCGCCTCATCGCCGGCGCAATTATCCGGCTGCATGGGGAAATGTGTAAATCATCCAACTCATTCGCACCCACTCTCGCTTGAAAGAGACTTTGGCGTCAGTCGGTCAGCCACCAACCAGTCATGGGTAGAGCCTCTTCTGGCTAGTCTGCAACCATAGTGATGGGACCGAGTGGAATGTTCCTCACGACTCGGGCCAGATTCGCTCCCCAAGTTCTCGGGACACCTGTCTCATCTACGCCAGACATCGTCCACCGGGCTGAGCGTTGCAGGGATTTCGTCGGTCTGGAGCGAGGATCACTGGATCCGTCTAAGATGAGAGCGCTGTTGAAGATTGGTTCGGCGCCGAGGTATCAATGCGACAGGAGACAAGACTGCCAGGCTGATAAAAGGGGGAAGGATATAGCCAACGGCCAATAAGCACGCATTGGTCATGGGTCTGCATGAGTTTAATCAGACATATATGCCCAAGAAGATGAAAGCCATGGAATGGAAACGGCTAAGTTGCCATACAGATCTAGTGGTGGACCTTGGTGAGGGTTTCCCCCGGGCTCTCCCAGTGCAACACAGTGCATCCGAAATGCGAGCTGAGAATAGACAGTAGCACCCGCCAGTGAAAAGGCTGATGCATTCGTACAGTACCATCCATGTGGTACCAGGAAACCCCAAAAGACTCGGTTGCTCATGCCACCCACATCAACTCGGATTCCAAATCGCCCTAATAGACCAGAAAGCACTGGGGGAAGATGTACGCTCTTGGTACAACACATTGACGGCCCACATCCGCAGTGGGAAGGGACTTCAAGAGTGCCGAACGGTCGAGATCCACCCCCCACATGTCACCAGTGAGGTTGTGTTGAAGCTACCATTGCTGCCCCAATTGAGAGTCCACTTGGGGGTCGGACGGGTTCGTCTCAAAAAAAAAAAAAAAAGAAACCAAGAAAAAGCTATGGGAAAAGGCCGAGTGGCAAGCGGGGACGCACGGGAGAAACTGACCCAGGAGAGCCAGGAGACGTCAGGGTTCTTTCTGCATGCAAAAAGCAAGCTGATCGATCAGTTGGCGAAATTCAAGGTTCCAGCACACTCTCAAGACCCCACTGTGCAAGAGAAGAAATGGCTGGCTGTACAGGTACAGCTCCAGATTCCAATTCCGGAACGTGGGACGGCCAGGACCAGGACAGAGGCAGCACCGATAAAGTGGCTGCTCCCTCGTTACAATTTTCTTTTCTTTCTTCCAATGAGAGCCCGAATTGGGGGGGTTTTTGATCACGGTCCACATGAGCTCCGCGCGCAAAGGAATGAAAGAGCAGGACGGGGGAAGGAGCGTTTCGTTTGTTCATCGGGTCCATTCATCCTACATCTTGATCACGGCGTTTCAACTCTGCATACATACTCCCTGGGCACCGCGGGGCAGAGGCTGCAGAAAGCAAGCAACAAGCGGCAGCGAACAAGGTGAGGAACGGCGCTTGCCCAAGATGGGCTACGAGGCGGCGTGGGTAACAAAATTGCCATGCATTGATGCGTCGTGTATCCGTACGGATACATTAGGTAGGTAGGTATCCGTAGTGTACGTAGTGTCGCAGCAAGGGGGGAAGCCAAGTGCGAGCCAGGCTTGGCCCCCTTCTCTGCATGGGCGCGAGATTGAGATTGGGAAATTTTACCATGTACATTGTACGAACAGAAGCATTGTTGCTGGGACATGGGGAATGCCTGTTCCCTGTTCTCTGGAGTGGCTTCGGGTCCTGCCCTGGTCTTGCGAATGAACAGGTAGACTGTGCCTGAAGCGAGACATTAGGGGACAGGACCGACCGGGGGAGAGGGAGCCAGGGAAGCCAGGGGAGCCAGGAGAGCCAGACCACGACACACGCCTGGTCTCGACATCGTCAGTCAGTACCGGATAATGCCACGCGGCAGGCCTTCCTTGACAAGAGGAATCCCTTTAGTGCCAGATGAGACGCTTCCTTCGATCGTCAGTCTGGAGGTAGCAGCACCCAATAATAAAACAACCATTCCTCGTTTACACCATCCACTCGTCGATCGACGTGCCAAGAGTCTTGTTCGCCAGTCAGTTACTCTGCTACTCTTGGGTACTACGGATGCTGCAAGCACAAACGCAATAACCTTCCGTCCGACCTGGTTGAGGCTTGCCCGCTCACCTCGCCCAAAACCCATCCACCTATTCGTACACTCGCCCGCCTCACAACTTCCTACCAGCCGAAACCGATACCTCACCCGCCTTGCACTGGCTGGACCATCGACTCTCGAGCCATCTTGCCCAGATAACCCCTCCCCACGAACCCCGAATCGCCCCGTCTCCCGCAGCCTCCCTCCAAGTGTCTTATCTCGCTGGCCTGGCCAACGCAGATTGGTCAAGGAGAAACACGACGTTCTGCTGCTGCTGCTGCTGCTGCTGCTGCACCTCAGCGAGAGACAGGCTAGGCACTAGAGAACACCCACTGTCTGTCTCACACCTACGCGCCCAACCTCATTGGTTAAACTTTCTTAATCCTCCATTTCAAACCACCTTTCCACGCATAGTACCTACCACCATATGCAGCCCCTTAAACCTCGCGACGAAGCCGTAATTACCTCGACAGTCAACGTTATTGCAAGAGGAGGAAAAGAAGGGGGGAAGTAAGATCCCACAGAATATTATCGGCAGCCGTTTGTTCTCGAACGCAATTCTTTCCCTACATCAAACAACAATCCGGCAATCCGAGCCACTTTGTCCCAGCCATCTTCCCGGACGCGGCAATCCGTTTGCTTGGGCTGCGCTTGCATACAACAAATCTCAATTGCCGCAAACGGCCGTCTCGCTGCTGCCACGCCTTTCCCGTCCAGCGTCCAACAAAGCCACGACACAACCATCACTTATCTACGGCCAAGCCCTGGATGAACTGGCCTCAGTTGACGTTACTACCAATCTACTTACCTAGTGTTCAATCTTGACCGTGGCATCAACCGCACCCGGTTTCTCGCTGCGTGTTTGTAGCGCGTCAGAATTCATCTGATCCAATTGCAGACCGATTCACAACGCTCGGCCCCGGATCCCAACCTTGATCCGTACAAGCCCACGAACGGACGGACGACAGGCCGGACTAAAGTTTGGGGTACCGGTTTTCGCTCTGCCCAAAATTTGCTCAATGCCTTCGTCCCATCATCTGTTGCTTGACGAAAACGTAATCAACTGCTGAGGTTTCCGCGCCGCGAAAGGTTCGCAGCTATCAGCAGTCCCAAAAAGGCCCCATCCGCTCATTGGGGACCAGCTCGTATTGCGTCCCACGACCTCACGGCCGCTATAACGACACACTCAACGCCTGGAGCCAAGATAAACGTCCGCTCAAGCAGCTACACGGCCGACACCTGATCGTTTGCCAAATTTGCCTATCGACAATAATGGCGATGCAGACGGTACACGCCCACGCGGGCCACGCACATTCGAGCTCCACGTCCTCGTATCCTCCGCGGCCTGCGTCTCCTACGCTGACGAACCCCGACATGATTCTCCCCGACTACGATCGCTCGCCTTCTCCCGAACGATCTCATTCTCCGCTAACCATGTGGAAGAACGCGCATGCCGTCGATATGAACATGCAGTTCCAATTTCCACCCTCCGCATTTGTCGCTGGTCCTATCACCCCTACAACGCCAATCATCTATGGCAACGGAACCATGTTGTCTGACATTGGTGAGGTCACGGAGGCCGAGAGCACACCCGGCAGAGCTTCGCGCCCGACTTCCATCTTCTGGTCCCGACCCAACAACGCGGGCGCCGACGAACCGCGATATCCGTCGCCTACGAAAGTACTAGAGAGCCTCAAGCAACGAGCAGCGCGGGCGACGCGTGAACGGCGATCCTCTATTGATTCCACAAGCACGATCACCACAACACAAGACCAAAACGCCCTGTTCGCGGGATTTGACGATGCCATGAGCGTCGACGATAGCAACTTCCAGGGCGACGACGAGGAGAGTGTGGCGGAATCTTATATTGAGCAGGCGCCTATCCACCAAACACAGGATAAGTCGCAAACCATTAGGTCACCTCTCGATGGTCCCAAAACATACTCCACCTCTCTTATAAGTCGCCGGGCCGAGCAAATTCTAGCGAATGCTAAACGGAGGCTCACGGTATGCCTCCCATGGATTATTCTTCCACAAGACGGTTACTAACGCATACAGACAATGGAAGGCAATCTGTCAAGAGCGCGGAGTTCATTGAGCATCTCGACTCCCTCAATGTCCTCCTTCGACGGAAACCACTCAACTCCTTCTCCGACAAGGTCTGCCTCGTCCGTAACCTCTCCGATGTCTGCTCACGGGCATGCAAGGATGTTGAGTGATACGTCGCTCAACATTGACGCAAACACTATAGCCAATGTTCCCAAACGGTCCGCCAGTGCAATGGGAGCAGCAGGTGGATACCGACAACCGCTCCTTGTTCGTAAGACTTCTTACGACTCGGCATCGGATCGCCTCAACTCTGGAGGAGAGGGACACTCGCGCTACAAGATCGCTCAAGAAATTGGCCTGGAACCCCTTGGAGAAGAAGAGGTGACGCAGGAATTTCACTCAGGGAGCGACAGCGCCAACCGGGAGGGTCTCCTAAACCCAGCGTTCAGCCTGGCGAGTCGCAATAGGCCACTGACACGCTCTGCATCTGTTGCGCAAATGCGCGACATCAGAGATCAGGTGCAGGATCTGAAAGGAAAGATCTCATCTCTGAGAGAGCAGGCGCGTGCCGACAGCATGCGACGACGCAGCATGCAGAGCCTGCGAACCCCAAGTCCTTTTACTCACGCTCAGGTTGACCAGTGGTATGCCGAACCCCAGAAGCCACAATCGCCGGAGCCATTGACTGCTAGCTCGGAAAAGAGTCCGTGGAATGCGGACGCGGTGAGCGTTGACGGGCTGGTTCAGGAGCCAGAAGAAGGACCCAAGACGATACAACTATCGGTCGCAGATGACGGGTCGGCAGCTGAAGATTATGACACTGTGGAGGATGTCATTCGACAGGAAGAAAGGCAAAAGGCGCTCAATGCCATGCAGGCAAACCAGGATGTGGAGGATGATGAGGCCGTCGAAGACGACATCTCTGACATGCAAACCGAGGACGGTTTCGAAGACAGCGTGCAAGTCCAGGGCGGGGAAGGATATGACAGTGATAGCGGAGACTCACTCTACCATGATACTGTGCAGACTTTCATGTCTCACGAGGACCGCGAAGATGCCTTCGATTATGAGCATTTCTTCCTTCACAGCGCGATGGGCACCCTCAGCTCAAACCGCCGTGGTAGCGTCACTTCCGAGAGTTCTATCGAAACGACTCGTGGGCCCATCGTCACCAACGAGCCGGTGCAGCCGATCGCACACAACAGACGGGGCAGCGGGGACACGATTTCAACCATGGAGTCTTTCGCCACGGCACACGATGGCCGATCCAGTCGAGTAAGCGCCAGCGATCCTAGCGAGGAGCTGAGGCACGGTATCCTCACACCCCCAAGCATCAGCCCCATCAGCGAGCGCACCGAGAGCCCGCCGACGGCCAAGCGAGCGATCAACGGTAGCAACATGGGCGGCGAAGACGCTTTGGACAAACTACGAAGTCGAGCACGCGCCGGTTCGACGGTGTTCCGTCGGCCGATGACCACCCAGGCAACCATGGGCCACCGCCCGGGGAGTGCCTCATTTGACTCGACAGGCACCAACCGAAGCTTTCCGTTGGCGGGCAAGGCGCGTGTCAGCGTTGGCATCCTCACCCCTCAGGGCTCTCCCGATCTGGAACTCAGGACCATCTCGGATGCCTTGATGAGCGAGGCTGCGAGCATTTGCGACAAGGAAAGCATCCACACACCGGATCAACCTGCCCCCATGGAACAGCTGGCCAGAGAAGACCAGATCTTGATTGAGCGCACCGTAGCCAGCTTGGGACGCTGCGTGCTCGCAATGAGCGAGGCCGGCAAGGCCTCGTCAGAAAACCGGATGTACAGGAGGCGCATCGACATGGCACGCCGGATTCTGGAAGGCATTGGCGAAACTTCATAAAGGCCGTGTCGTTTTTTCTTTTTCTGTTATTTTTCTTCTTCTTACATTGTTTCTTCCATTTATACGATATATGTGAGGGGATTTCTGGCGCCAGCCCTTGACAAGGGCCCAGCTGCATGCTACCGTCAAGCCAGGGCATTGACGTCGGCGTCAATGAGTAACTGATAATGTCAAATGAACCGTAAGGAAAGTCGGTCTATAGGGGCCGGGAGGCTTTGCGCCTCAAGCAGGCCAAATGACGATTTCATTTCCTAGATTCGATTTCGATACCCTTCTTTTTTGTACCTTTTCCACTTTTCTTCTTTTTGTCTCTTTTTGTGGCTGGCATACCAACTCTTTTCTTTCCCTTCTTTTACCCAAATGCTGGGTATCACTGCGAGACCTGCTCAGCAACTTTTCCCTTTGTCAACAGGAAACAAGACTCAGTGTATAACCCGTCTTGAGCCAAGAGTGTGTATTATTAGTCTCGAAAGGACTCAGAAGTTAGTTGTCTTAGTATTTGTGCAATACAAGATGTCTTAGTACTTTTACCTCTAACCTGCGACTGTCACCTGTGCCTATTTCGTGAGCAAGATGATCAAGCATAGTCAAGGAGTAAGTAAGTAGATCTAGGGAGGGGTTATAGGGCGGTTCGGCTCGTCAATATCAATATCGGATTATAGACGAAGCCGGAATGAAATATGCTGTAAGACGACTTCGGTTTCTGACTTTGAGGCCTTGGGAGACATCTTCGTCCTTCGAGGTGACAAGTTATGCTGGTTTCATTGGCTGGGAGTTCACTACTGCGGTTGGGTTAAGAGTGAGTTTAACAAAGAATGAAAATAGTAGACCTTGGAACTAATCAAACACATAGATGCGTGTCTATGTAGTTCTGGATCTGGAGCAATTGACACAGACATCCTTTGACAGTCGGGGTTGTCAGTTACACAAGCATTGTTCTCTGGACCGAACCATGATGGCCCGGACCTCTCAGTTGATCTACTCCCACATGCTTGGAGAACAACCCGGCCGTTATTCTCCACTTAAAATAGCGCGAAAGGATTGGCGAACTGCACGCAGCGTTCCCCCTTTCGCACACCGCATTTGCCTGCCTGTGTGCTTGTACTCTGCTCTCCAAGGGTCCAATCCACCAAACTCCCCACCCCTCCTTCCTTTCTTCACAAGAGACAACAAGACCTCACCGCGACTTTGTTCAGTCCTTCTATCTTGCTGCGCGGTCTCTTCGAGAACAAGCAAGCCCTGCTGGCGGCGACGTCTTATCTGTGCCCTCTCTATTCCAACCGTGAACAGTGCCTACAACAGCCCACTCTTTCTACCTGCCTCCAACTCTTGCATGTACGCGCGCACGCGACACAACCAGCCAACGGCCCATCGAGCAAGCAAAAACCAACAGCCAGCCAAAGGAGAAAATACACCAAGGAGTCCTGTACCTCATCCCAGAACGAAGAAGGCCGACTAAAACGACTCAAAATTCATACACATAAACACACAAAACACACACACACGCATACACGCAGGAAAACAAGATGGCAGAGCCGTCCATCGCAAATTTCCTCCTCCGCTCCCTCCTGCCCCCCGATGCCGCCGACTTCATCCACCAAAACGCGCTGCACCCGTCGTCTCCACTCCAGCAGCTCCGCGCCCGGGCTCAGTCGGCGGCATCGCGCGCCCTCGACCAGCTTTACCCCTACCTCGCGCCCGCCGTCGACGCGACCCTCGAGTTCCTGCACTCGTCGCCTGAGTTGGTGAGCTTCGCTATCCTGCTGGCGCTGCTGGCCGCCACGGTGGTGGTGCTCAACTGGATCCGGCGCGTAGTGGCCTTCTGGACGGCACTGATCCTGCGGCTCGCGTTCTGGGCCAGCGTCGTCGTCGTCGTCGCCGCCGTGTGGCAGAGAGGCGTCTGGGAGACGGCGCGGGACGCCGTCGTCGTTGGCAGCAAGGTGGTTGGGTTCGCGGCGGCAGTCAAGGACGTCTGGGTCAGCGAGTACAACAGGTACGAGCAGGAGACCCAGGTGCAGGGGAGCAGGTACCGGTAAAGGTTGGCCGAGCCGCGGAGATGGGCAGCGGAAGACGGATGTTGGGAAAGAGGGGATCGACGGCAGGCGAATGGTGGGATATACCCCGAGGGAAAGACGCGTTTTGAGAGCCAGGATGTGCTGATATACGCAAAAGTGTTATGACACGCATTTGGAGATGGTTGGTTGGTGGGTGGACCGGGCCGCGGGGAAGCAACAGCACCGCCGTAGTGAGGCACGAGACTGGATAAACAAGACCACGGCTGGAATTGGGCAGAGTCTTCGCGGTGTTCAAGCTGGGTTGGGATGCGCATACGCGGTACGACATGCAGCAGCAGAGGGACCAACGTCGAGAACGTTCGCCGAACATGATTATGGACGGCTCAGTGGATATTAATCAATACCAACGCCAACGCTATGCAAGCAATCATAACCCTCTCTAATCTGATACTTTCCCCCTCTCGTGACACTCTTTTCTTCGCTCTGGTCTCTAGACTTTTTCTTTCTTTCTTTCTTTCTTTCTTTCTTCTTCAGAATGGTATCTCTTTCTTGTAATTGAAACACCCCAGAAATGCTGCCAGACGATCCATGCAGACCATACAACCGGCGTGGACTAGTCGTCGCTGGGCTCGTCAAACTCGTCGTCTTTGAGCTCCTTGGGCTCCTGCGCCTCATGGTACTGGATAATGTCGTCGATGTAGCTCAGCACCGCGCCAACGCTGTCCTCGTCTGTGTTGTCCAGCTTCAGATAGTTGACCATGCTGAAACTCTCGATTAGGCCCGCGACGGCCCTGTTCAGCCGCTGGAAGCTCCTGCCACGCATGACGAGGTCGCGGTCGTGGACTTCGCCGCGGCCGTCGTCCGGCTCGCCCCCCGCGGCCGCGGTGGCCACCGGATCGTCGTCCAGGAGGCCCGTGTCAGGCGTGAGGAAGCGCTTCATGTCCTTCTTGCGCACCTGGTCTTTGACGAGGTCCATCTTGGACAGGATGTTGATGTGGGGGATCTCGAGCATGATCATGGCGCTCATAGCGCTGAGCGTGCCGGCGAAGAACTTGGCGCGGTCGACGACGAAGGTCGCCTCGAGAAGGTAGGCGGCACAGAGGCGGATGTCGAGTGAGCCCGGCTGGGAGAGGAAGCGGGCGAGGGCCGGAAGGATGGGGATGTGGGTGTACAGCTCGATCTGGCCAGGCATGTCAAAGATGATGAGGTACTCCTCGGTTAAGCTGTCGAGGGCCGCGGTGAGGAAATCGAGGTTCTCCATGAGGAACTCGAAGCAGTAGATGAGACCGCCGTTAGGGCCGAGCCCGACCTCCTCCATGGCATCGTGTAGAGAGATAAGGTCCTTGATGTCCAGATCGGGGGCGTGCTCGAAGGATTCGGCGGCCGGGTCGAGGTTGACGTAGAAGGCGGAGCGGCGGTTAAGGTTTAGGTGGGTGATGAGGGAGGCACAAAATGTAGACTAAAGGGAGGGAGAAGAAGAAGAGGCGGTTAGCTTTCCGGTATTCGGGGTCGGCTTCGGGACGAAACGGTGGTGTATTTTCGGGTTTCATCAGGCGGCCCGGTCGGCCGGTCGTCGAGGCCGACACACGGGACAGAGCTTGCACGAGACATCCGATCGGGCTGCAGCCTGAAGAGCCGGCAACAGAGCCAGAAGAAGGGCAGGGTAGATAGGGATACACGAAGAGATGGATATTCACCTTGCCGGCCCCAGCAGGGCCCATGACCATGACGCCGTACTTGGACATGATGGCGTGGGTAGGGAGGAACGGAACCGGAGATTTGCTAGGGGCCGTATGGCAGTAATGTGAAGGGCAAGAGTCAGAAGGATTCGGAAGCTCGTGTACTATCTTCTGTCTTGGTTGGGTATTGTGCGGCGTGAGGTGATGGTGGTGGTCTTGGTTCAGGATCGGCAGAGTCACTTGTCGCAGAGTTTTGGAGGAGGAAGGAATGATGTTTCTTGCTATGGAAATTTACCCCGCCATGCAGGAACGGGTGCGCGTCTAGGGGTCGCTGGTGATCGGCCTCTTTCCCCTTTTTTTTTTTTTTGTGCCCCTTCTGGGTCCTTAGCCTGACTCTAAGGGCTAGAGTCTGATGCTTTGTGGCAAAGCGAAAAAAAGAAAAGAAAAAAAAGAAGAAGAAGGGTGGACGAGATATCACTTGCATCTCCTCCTGGTACGGAAGTAGATATGTATCTTTCATAACGGAGTACGGATAGCCTGTAATTACTCGCCTGCCGGCCCAGCGATAGCCCAAGGCAAACGTTACAAAATAAAAAAAAAGTTTTGCCTTTCGGTTGCGATTGCGGGCCCCAATGCGGCTGCGGTAGCTTGCGATAAGAGATAACAAGATTGTCCCCCAATAGGCGCAGCTTGCGGAAGGCTTACAGTGGAATTATGGGCCAATGCCGCCCGCACGTGCAAGGCACGGGAGGGGCATATTCTCACCGGCCTTTTCAGGGATATCCTACAATTTATCTCCCCGTTGGGCTTAGTTAGCTCTTGTTTCGGCAGGGATTTCTTACCGCCTGAAGATTCAACCATAACATTCCCAGAGAGGCATTCAGGGCGGAGGACGGGAAGCTTCGCGGTCGCGGCGTGCTTTAGGAATCCAAATTCTGTAAGAAGGGTGCGTCCGAGGCCACAAGTACAACGGCGGGCCTCCCTTGATACGAAGCGGATTAAGGTGGTCGATATGGTGGAATGTCGCCGGGCGGTCGGCGCGTCCCCCGTCGATAAGCCTTGCCGTAGATAGGCGGCGTCGAGTTGCGCGCGCCGTGGAATGCGCCGGTCAGTTGGAACAATGCATTGGTGAACAGCCCGACATATGCCTAGTGTCAGGGTTGACGAGAAAAAGGTACCGTTGAGAGTTTCGACCCCGTGATTGTCCATTGGAATTGCACAATGTATCTTCGGTCTGGCACAAGCACCTCCTCACATAGTTTACAATTGAAGTTAAGGTTCTTCGCGCTGCCGGTGGTGTACACTACCTTGGAGTCTTGGACGAAACAGCGGAAGCCTGAGCTCCCTCGGCGAGTCGATCACCGCTGCTCCCATTGGGTGTGTATCCTGGCGACTGTGGAAATCCGAAAACTTCCCTGGCTTGCCCTCTGTTGAACCACCAACCAAGCCGCCAGCGATGGGGCCACGGGTGCCGTTGGGTGGCCTCTGCATTGGGTATACTTTTACCGTCTGTGACCAATGTACCATTTACTCATGCATAGGTACGGATATTGACACAGAAATGTTGTATAGGCGGTCAAGGGAGGAAAGTCGTGAGGATGGCGCAATCTGGAGAATTTTGGGCCTTCCCCCTCGACAGGGTTGGTACATCAAAATGGAGGGGTCGGCCGGTGAATGTACCTCCTCCGCCACACTAACTACTATGGCCGCGTCGGTACCTACCGTTCCTTCCGGCCCTCGGCCAGTGTTTCCCACGACTAATGTGTCAAATCCGCTTGAGCTTTTCGGCCACAGAGAGAGGAGTGAGTGAGCGAGAATTTCTTCCCAACCATCCCATCCCCGAGCACCACCACTCTGGTCTCCCGTATTTCTTTTAAAACCCGAACGGCCGCATCCTCTCCTTTCACTCTTTCATTCGTTTTCTCCTCTACATCCACAAGCCTCGCCTTGCTCTGTGTCCCTCCCCATACTTCCAAAGGTACGTGATTGGCTTTACACTGAGCTTCCAGACCCCGCGCGCCAAACGTTTGGACCCCACCAGACCCAAATGCAGAGAGAGAGAGAGCACTGGCTGACCCATAGATGACAGAAGTAGCTTTTTTCCCCCTGTCCCGCTTGCTATCTCTATAGCCCCTCGAAGCCCCGCGTCGGTAGATTTAAACCCACCGAATCTTTCTCTACCTCAACCATCTTTTCCCTTCTTCACACACCCTTTTCTCACATCCCCCTCACCTCCTCCCCGTCCAAGATGTCTCCCAACGGTATCAACGGCAACGGCATTGCCAGCCGCAAACACTACAACGAGGGCAACTTCCTCTTCACCGTAAGAAATCCCTCTCCTCGCACTTGCTGTCGGCGGTGAAGCCACAAACCCCTGCTGATACTTCTCCGATATAGTCCGAGTCCGTCGGTGAGGGCCACCCCGACAAGATCGCCGATCAGGTCTCCGATGCCATTCTCGACGCCTGCCTGCGGGAGGACCCCCTCTCCAAGGTCGCTTGCGAGACTGCCACCAAGACCGGTATGATCATGGTCTTCGGTGAGATTACCACCAAGGCCAAGCTTGACTACCAGAAGGTCGTCCGTGACGCTGTCAAGGACATCGGTTACGATGATTCCGCCAAGGGCTTCGACTACAAGACCCTCAACCTGCTCGTCGCCATTGAGCAGCAGTCCCCCGATATTGCCCAGGGTCTCCACTACGACAAGGCTCTCGAGCAGCTCGGTGCCGGTGACCAGGGTATCATGTTCGGTTACGCCACCGATGAGACCCCCGAGCTCTTCCCCCTCACCCTCCTCTTTGCTCACAAGCTCAACGCTGCCATGTCCGCTGCCCGCCGTGACGGCACTCTCCCCTGGCTCCGCCCCGACACCAAGACCCAGGTCACTATTGAGTACAAGCACGACAACGGCGCCGTCGTCCCCCTGCGCGTTGACACCATCGTCGTCTCTGCGCAGCACTCCGAGGATATCACCACCGAGCAGCTCCGCAAGGAGATCAAGGAGAAGATCATCCAGAAGGTCATCCCTGAGAAGTACCTTGATGATAAGACCGTCTACCACGTGAGCCATTCTCCGCATACCAATAGCGCGACCCTGTTACTGACATTTCTGCCCAGATCCAACCCTCCGGCCTCTTCATCATCGGTGGCCCCCAGGGTGACGCCGGTCTGACCGGCCGCAAGATCATCGTCGACACCTACGGTGGATGGGGTGCCCACGGTGGCGGTGCTTTCTCCGGCAAGGACTTCTCCAAGGTCGACCGTTCCGCTGCTTACGTCGGCCGGTGGATCGCCAAGTCCCTCGTCAACGCCGGCCTCGCCCGCCGTGCCCTCGTTCAGCTCTCATACGCCATTGGCGTCGCCGAGCCCCTTTCCATCTACGTCGACACCTACGGCACCTCGGAGAAGACCTCTGACGAGCTCGTCGAGATCATCCGCAACAACTTTGACCTCCGCCCCGGTGTCATCGTCCGCGAGCTCAGCCTGGACCGTCCCATCTACCTCCAGACCGCGAAGAACGGCCACTTTGGTACCAACCAGTCCTTCACCTGGGAGCAGCCCAAGACTCTCAAGTTCTAAGCTAGCTCAGGCTGGACCGAGAGCAGGATTTCTTCAACAAGCTTCCTGCATTGCAACGACCTAGACGTTTATAATAATTTGATATTCATGCGGACAGGCACTCAATATTGGCGTACGGTTCTCAACGAATCCCGGTTTCATGCCTTTTCGGGGTAAAGGCAATACACAAGACACAGGGCGTGGTCTTCTGATAGGGTCATTTTTTGTCAAACGGTGTTAAAAACAATCGGAACAAGGGAGCGGTGGCGTCTTTCAACAAAGACACTGCAGGATTAGGATCATATCCTGCAACTTTTTTCTTTCTTTTTCAAAGTCACAAAAGAGCAATGCATCATGAGAAGATACCCTTCGCATTGTTCGAAAGGGGACACCAAACAAACAAAGCATCTACATTGGCGTTAACGGGGAAACAAAAGAATTTCAACATCTTTTCTTTCCTGGTTTTCTGGCCGACAATCTCTTGCGCAGTTAGGGGGAAGAAGGATGCGGCAGGACTGAGACAGGCCGAATAGCTGGGTCTCGGAAAGCTGCAGACGGTTAAACCATTTAGCTATCATCAATAGAGACAAGGATATCCAGGACTGTCGACTTTCGCCGTTTTACTACGATATTTGGATTGATCGTGACCTAAAGTGGTGTGTCTTGGTACTCATTATGAGTAACTTGCGCGGTACACTGTTTCCCGCGGAGTAAAACGAAGCAGAACTCTCAACACGCAACCACGCAATTTTGACAACGACTCTCGACGGCATAGCACGCAGAGCGACGGGCGGACAATCGGCTTATGAAGACTGATGTTGGTCCCGTGTCCCTTGATCAAGGAGGTACTTTCTGGAAAACCCCCGACCTTGGGGTGTATATGTATGTGTAATCCAACTCTGGTCAAAAGGCTCTTGTTCGCCCTGCAAGGAGGCGGGACGTTAGTATGGGAAAGAGGAAAGAGGCAACAGGAGGGGCATTGACGCCGTCCTGTCTGGTTGTCGGGATTAGCGGCATGCACTTTGACCTGTCGTTGGAGAGGGTGTGTGTGAGAGGTTGGTTCCTCTATGGGATGTTTCCAGTGCGGCTACAGCAAGTTCGTCCGATCCGGTGGAGCAATCCGTCGGACACCGGGCGAACGCAATATGGAAGGGTGGCCGAGTTGGTTATGGCGCCAGGTTAAGGTCAGCTTAACATCTGTTTCCTGGTGGGGCAACCCGCGCGAGTTCGAGTCTCGTCCCTTTCAAGATTCTCTTTTTACTGTTTCCCCTAATCCGTTTCGTGTGTCTTTTGTTGCTGTCTGCGTTCATGCGTTGATATTTTATTGTTATTGTTTCTTGGCATTCATCATGTTTAGTGGTGAAGCTGGTTGGTGACGGATGGAAGCAGGTACAGGAAGGTATAACGTAACAATTCAATGTCCTGCAGTCAGCTATTATAGACAGAGTTTTGCTGACTATCCTTCACAATATCCAATGCATGCCAATGTCTTCAGAGCACAGTAAACTCTAGGTGAGGGTTTGTTTAGGCGAGTGTTACACGCATCTTTCCGCAGATACGGGATAATCACTAATCGGTATGTCGGTGGTTGTGTTTGCTGCTCGGACTTCTTGACTTGTTTTCTTTTTCTAATATAGCATACGGTTGCACAGTCCTGGCATGTAGGGAGGCTAAGTCCGTTTGGCTGGCGAAAAGAGACGACACTCCTGAAAACTGCATTCACGAGTTTCATGGTAAAGCCCCTTGAGTGATTGTCAATGAAACCTAGTTTTAGTATAGCCACGGATGACCTCGGCTCACATGGTACTATTCCCAAGTTGATTGGGTGCCACCCTATTGCTAACACAGCTGGCGCGCGCAATGAGGTTTCAAGAAGAGATGAAAGGCAAGTTCACCTCAAGGGATGGTCAAACCAGCCAAACGGTAACCAATGAGACGAGTGAGGAATACTACCGTCTTATCTTGCTTGGGAGGCCGCTCTTTCCTATATCTTACAAGCAAATAACAGAGGGCAAATGCTTGTTTGCCTCAACACATACGAATTTATCATCAAAGAGTTTAGACACTTTCTACTCCATTATCTTTCTCTTCTGCAAAGAAAACTGTCAGAGCACTCTGCTACGAACAGTCAGATGCTCCGGTTTACTGTGCCTGTAGGAGTTGTCTTTGTCTTCACACAGTGCCTTACTTGCAATTGCTAACTTTTTCTGCCAAGCAAGGGGCACATGTGAAAATGAAGGTAGCTGCTTGTAACACAGGCTCAGGGTCCGCAAGGTCAATAATGTTCTGTGCTGCCAATCACTGCCGGGTACCTTTTAGTCTACAGAAATGTGCCTCTGATGTTCAAGGTCACATGCCAAAAAGCAGCACCAAGACATTTTCCCCAGACGGACATTCCCTGGAGGGATTAGCGGCGCGCTGGCCCTGCGTCATAGGGGGGCATGTGGGGGAACCCTGGGGCTGGGGGTTCAGAGTGTGCTGTGGTTGTGCTGCAGCGTGACTCGCCAGAAGCCGAAGACGTCCAAGAGCCTGGGACCGAGGTACCATTCATCACCTCACACATACACACACACGCGCTCTCTCTCTCTCTCTCTCTCTCTTCCCTTCCCCTTTCCTCCGGTCCAACATTCCCATTTACCTTTTGTGCATGCAACACCGCTGTCACTCTTTTCTGTGCCTTTCAAACCCGCTGCAATCCTCATGCGCTGAGCGGAAGCACGCCTACCAAGAGCGACTCCCACTGTCGCAACTGCCATCATCCACTTGGGAGCGACGTGCAATTGCCGAGGCTAGCCACAACTACAACAAACCACACCAACCCGCCGCCAAAATGTCGCTCGCCGCTCTCGATGGCCTCAAGGTAGGCCCGCTGCTGGTCAAATAGAGGTGTCAAAGAGTCCCTGAAAACTGACGCCGATCCAGGCTGCAATCGAGCGCATCATCCTCGACCCCAAGTACCATGACATCCTTGCCGTCGTCAAAGGCGCCCGCAATGGAGCAGTCTACGGTGCAAAAGTCCGCTTCCCTCATGCGCTTGTGTATGTATCGATAGCCACCCTTAAACCTATAGGTGCTTGCCATTGCTGACTCTCGGACCATTTCAGCATGATCTTCCTCTTCCGCTCGGGAACGTACGTCCCCCCCCGTACCCCAATCCCTGAAATGGGACAAGCTATTGCTATTGTCAGTTGCTAACCCATTCCCACCCAGATTCCGCCAGAAGGCCGGTCTCGTCTTTCGTGCGACCCGAACCCACGCCCGTAACCTCGCAAAGTTCGCGACGATATACAAATTCACAATGTACCTCCTCAAGAACTACGGTCCCACGCCAGGTAAGGAAGGACCCTATGACTCCTTTTTCGCTGGGCTATTGGGCGGCTACATCGTCTTCGGTGGCCGCTCCTCGAGAAGCGGCAAGATCTCCAGTGTCAACCAGCAGATCGTTGTCTACGTCTTTGCGCGCGTCGTTCTGGCCCTCGCCCGCCTCGCCGTCACCCCTGGCAAGGGTTTACCCCTCGTCAGCCGCGAGGACCTCTCGACTAAGATCAGCTACTATGCCTGGCCCGTCTTCGCCAGTACGAGCTGGGCTATGGTCATGTACCTCTTCCGCCATCACCCGTCCGATCTGCAACCCAGCTTGCGTAGCAGTATGACGTACATTTACCAGCAGAGCAGTGAGTGGGACTCGTTGCGCAACTTCATCTGGCATAACAAATAGACAACTTGCCGCGAGAGTTGGATTTTTTTTTCTTTTCTTCCGTTGGCAATATGTATCATCAGATGATCGGCGTTTGGTGCTTGGATACAGGGGTCGGCCAATTTGCTACGACACGACACAGTGAATGGACGAAGGCGGAACACATTTTGGGGGGGAGGGGTGTTGGTTTTATTCTTACGGCTTCATGACATGGCATTATAGACCAGTCTATCGACCATATACAACGACGAAATCGAGCCCAAGTATCTCCGAAATTTCGACATATACGAGCCATACGTATCACATATCTGTATTGCTTTCTTTACCGAGCTCGTTACCTAGTTGTCAATGGATTCACATATTGCTCTGCGGGTTTTGTAACAGCCCCTCAGAATGTATGCGCCACCTGTTTGATGAGCCCGTCATAATCCCAACTAGAGTTCATCCCGTAGCCTTAACTCGACCCGAGGCTATTCGTCGACCCTTAGAAATGGTTGTCCGGCAGGAGTAATGTGGTCCACAGGAGTGGAAAGGGGGTCTTGCGGGACGATGTTATGCCGAAAGGTTGAAGGACCGAGATGCTGGTTCATAATCGGACGCTGGGGCTGATCCGGCAGGAGTGGTCATAGTTGCGAGGCCCAAAGTTGTCGGACAATAGGGGAAATGGCCCCACCCACCACGGAGAACAATGGGTCACGGAAACCACAAGTCGGCACGCTGTTCCTCCCTTACTCCACGCCATCAGCAGTGCAGTTTTCCGGGGAGAACAATAGAGTAGACAAAGCCATTCAGCCACAAAAGGCCACGGTCCGTATTCTTCGCCGCGCTTTCGAGGTTTGGACCCGAGTGCTATGGTTGGCCGGCTAGGACATCGCCGAGCCCGTTTTACAGATATCATGCTGCTGACACAGAGCGGCCTGAGGCCCGTATACTTGTAGGTTTTGAAGATTTACTATGCTATCGGTAAAGAATGCAAGGCCCTATTACTTGGAATTGTCTTGACACTAAACTCTGCGTTCAAGGCAGAGGACAAGAATCTAGCTGCAAAGGTGTGATCTAATAAAGACACACGGGCTGGGCCAAATAGATGATTGGGATGACCGTCTTGGACTTGCCTGTTTGGTCAGCTCAGCCATGGGTAAGATGCCCAGTCACGGGTGTGCTGCGACATGCCACAGATACGTACATCGTATCTCAGCAGACAAGTGTACGTGAAGTATGACAACTGCAGTCGGGAGATTACGAATTGCTGATGAATGATTGCTACGAGCCGTTGCCACGTAGGGGCTTTATGTACTTCACCGGGTTTCTTTCCAAAATTTTTACTGTGTCATCCACCTGCTGAACATGTGATGCCGATACATCAATGTCGCTTTTTATTCAGGATGCATTCTTCCTCCATTACGGAATCCAGTTGTGCATCTGCAGTTCCCTTGTGTCTAGCAAACCTAAGATATATATTCAACTGCAAGCGCATCATACAAGTTTCGCCCGTTCAACTTCTCTTCACATTCCGAACTGCTATTAGCACTTGACATCATAGCCGTCAGAGCGACCAAGAGACCAAGAATAGCCGCCCCAAGTTTCTGCTCTATAGCCTATTTTATTCAACGAATCTAATACGATGACGACTGCGAATCAGGGAAACCAGTCACAGGGGCTCGCCATGCTGTCAGGACTCCATGCCCTGGACAGTTCTAACAGCAATGACTCTTGCCAACTAGAACAGCCACCGGCATACACGCCGTCGACCCGAACAAGAACCTTCGAAAACCTCACTTCATATTTCCCTGGTCAAGATTTCTCTCCAGAAAGTGGTGACTCTGAGGCATTCCAGCAGCTCGATTCTATCCCAGATGCTATCGTTGACGATGACCTTGAGAACCCATCGCCTATGTCTTTGAGAATTTCAACACGGATCAAAGTAGCTAGCGACGGAAACCTCATTGCTCTACCCTGCTCGCCAGCAGAACAGGCGACATCCATGGCAAGTGCGATTATCGAGGCCATTCAAGGTCGAGATTGGATGACAGGGTTGCCAATGATCGACGAAAATGGACGACCGAGGCCACTCATACTGGATATCGATGCGGGGATGACCCTTGAGGGATCTTCAAACATCGTCGGCACGGAGTCGGTCATTGCCCAGTTTCTACGACGCGGCATGCATACACCGAACAAGTCACCCGATGGCCCATCCGGAAGAGATACTTCATCGTCAAAAAGAAGAAGACGGGAATCAAAAGACAGTGCAACTGAGGAGACTGTCCTCAAACGATCTCGAAACGAGTAATGGGGCTCGTATAGAGTGGTTCTTCGTCCGACGCTCTACCCACCTTCGAAGCTGTCATCCATTGGGATGTAGTTGTTGCCAAAACGGGCAAGCAATGCCCTAGATTATGAAACGTAGTATTAATGCTGTGGTAACTTGGACGGCATACAGAGAAGACAAAGTTCCTACGGACGTAAGAAGCGTTCATTCTTTTGTAATCATCTTGAATGTATGTAACTGGTGTGGCAGCATCTCAGAGTTGTACAGCATATTTGAGTTGTTCCAAACAACTATGACAAGAAGAAATGTGTGAATTTGAGGTCTGTATTCTTTTGGCTAGACAGGTATAATGAACAAAGCAACTGTTTTGGATTATCGATGCCCGAGGAACGAACGACTTTTGGCTCGTACTGAAGCTTTTCGAGAGCCAGAAACACCACTGAGTTTGTCGACGAAGCCCCTGAGATTCAGGAAGCTCCGGGTTTCATTTACTCTTTTATATAAGAAGACGTACTTCAGATACACTTTAATCATTTGACATTATTCTGCTCTTTGGACTTCTTTCTGCTGCCATTACACCACAACTCCAGTTTCACAACATCAAGTCCTCGGACGATTATGTTAGTTGACAAACGCCTAGCATCATCATTCCCTTTGCCTGGACCTTTCCTTTCGTCGGCTATTTTCTCCTATTGTTCCTCCTTGATCTTAGCCAGACTAGTTTCGAGCAGAGGATATCCGTGCCGACAAAGGGGCTTCGGCATATCTGCACTACTCAAGGGACATAAATGGATGAATGAGACTGCGGATGTTAAATGTTGACTGGAAAGTGTGTCTATAAAGCAACCAAATGTTCTGCATATGTCGCTGAAGAAAATCGTCCGTACTTCCTCTTCCTTGCTAGTGTAGCCTACTAAGCTTGCTCGGCGTGACCTTAAGTGACCATGAATACCATTCGGAGACATAGAAAGGCAAGCCCGAGCCTTATTTTCGACAGTACGCTGTGAGCGAACAGACAAGTCTGAATATCTGCTGACGGGAACGGTGGATCTTTTGAGCATATCTTGCGAATGAGGCATGGCATCAGGCTTTGTGTCCTGATTCTGAGTTACCATGTTAAGCTTTTCTGCAAATATAGCAAGCTCATGACGTACTAAATTTGCTTTATATTGCTAGAACAGTATGGTCTAATGATCAATTGACAAGAGTACAGCTAACTGAAGCCTGCATCGACCAGAGGGAGTCGTACAAGCTCAGCAATCCAAAATATACAGAAAAAAGGGGAACACGTAGAATGATGTTGAAACTTGGGTATTCGGTTTTACTCGGATATACAGTGTGTCTTTGAGCTGCCGCCAGTTTGTTCCCTGTTTTCTGCATCATATGTGGGCAGAAACCAGCGAAGAATATGCGCAGCTCCGTCCAAGGATTTAGTCTATAAACTGGTAACCCGGCAAAGAACTTTTCAGACCTTCAACCTGTTCCTATGGAGTGGATATTGCCATCTACCTCCCCGGATGGTACTCTTCCCTCATGTCCGAGCCGTAACCGGCGGGATGGCGAATTTTGGCTTGCGTTCCACCTCCGTCCATTCCAAGCAGAACGTCTTGCCCGCTTAGGTTCAGGTGGACATGGCGAGGTTTTATTCGGGTAAAATATCTCATCACCAACCCAGACGGTCAGATCTCGTTGATGGTAGCCTTTGTTGCGCCATCCTTCGCAGTCGTTACGTCGAGGAAGAGAGCATCGGCCCATGAGCGGCTCGGCATGAGGACCAGCCAGAGACACGAAAGTGAAATGGCCTCGAGCACCACATAGACGGCCTTTTGTCGTCGATCTGCCGTAATTAATGCCGTTGACAGTATAGTTGATGATGTAATCTCCCGAGAACTAGATGTATAAGCCGGCATAAGGAGGGTCGACCCTGTTGAAGAGGATGGAGAATCTGGTCGCGCCCCCCGGTGAGATCGTAGGTGACGCAGAGGCCGTCACGTCGCCGTTAATTTGGTCGTACCAGCCACCATAGTTATGTTGGGGCCAGGTATTGAACTCTTGGGATGTCGCCGAGGCGATGAGAACAGTGGCGATGGCAATGGAGGTGAGGCAAACCATTTTCAGCAGAGACAGACCCGAGACTTGCAAAAGAAAGATTTGAGGTGAGTAGCAAGCGCCAAATCACCAACCGGCAGTCAGTGATTACGACTTAAGTACCCATTCACATTGATTGTCCCAACTCATCTTTACCGTTTATCTATATTCTCGAAGAACCAGGCAGAAACGTACGTTGTGGGGCAATGTTCACTTTCGCGGTCAAGCTTGACCGAGGCTTGTCGCACGGGCAGAACCATCACGATCACCGCTATGCCGGGAGAGGTGCTAGATTAGGTCTAATCTACATGGGAAGGGGTTTTCAATGAATGTGAGTCTAGGAGCTCGTGATGTACATATGGTACAACTCGAAGCAAGTTAGTGGTTGTAATGGAATTCTTTTTGGGATGATAGACGATAGCTGCAAGTCCTCAAATGAAATGACTTGAAAACGAAAACCCCTACAAAGTCAACGAGGAAGCTTGATAAAAGTTTGCTGAAGTTGTGATTTAGCTCTCGAAGGGTTCCCTGAAGCGATGTCAAATGCGGCGACTCTTCTAAACATGGTTTTAGGCAACGAACCATCCGTCTCGGCCGTTCCATGTCAAAATCGGCAGGGAACCGGAGAAAAAAAAACCCCACTTCAGCTCCAATTGACAGCTCTGTCGATCCAATGAGCGGCGCCAATTGCAAAGACAGCTTCTGTCTGGTCATCCACTTGCGAATCGCGACTAGTTTCAGGCACCTATGGCCACCTCTACTCAAAACCGGTTGCGCTACAACGTCCAGCAACCGCAACCGCACCAATGTATAGTACACACACATGTAGGGGTGCTGTCGACATGATTGATGCTGGTACTTGACTCCGTACTGAGGGAGCCAAGCTGAACATGCCCGCTTCCCGAGACGTTGATACCCACCCATAGCGTTCCCCACTCTAGGCCTCCTTGGCTGTAGGCCAGCCCAGCTGAGAGAGGCCCCATCTTACATGCAAGTAACGACTTCCAAGCCTTCCAAGACGGCCCTGAACCCGCCGATACACGCGTACGAGGTACATGAAAACGCTGGAGGGGTTCTAAACCCCCGCGGAAATCATCCACGATGGGCATATGTTGTTCACTTCCCTTCCCCTTTCCCTTCTCTCCCGACTCCTCTACCACCTTGCTCCCGTCCGCCATGCCCAATATCACCATCCGCAACCTCACGGCGCGGCCTGTCATTCTCAAGCGCGTCGAGCGCTTTGAGGGTGAGAGCAAGCGCACCGGGGACATCCTGGGCAACACCTTTGGAACCCTCAACTCCTTCATCAATGCGACAAACTTCACCACGAGGGAGATTCACGCCAAGGGAGACGCCCACACGGCCGATGATGTTGATGTACACGTCGAACCGTTCGCCATCAACGCCACAGAGATTGACGCACCGGACCTTGGCAACCACGACGTCGTCCGTCTGCAGTTCGAGATCGAGGGCCACCGGTACGAGGTCGACGTCCCGAGCCCCTCCAACCGCTCCTCCGTCTTGAAGAAGCTTGACGATGCGCCACTCGAGCTGACGGCCATCTACGTGCCCGATGGCGCATTCCTGGCCATCATGTCCTCGGCGAACCTCAACGTCTGGATGCGCGAGCTGCGCGACGAGTACCCGCTGCCCCTCCTCTCCATCCCGGGCACCCACAACTCGCCGACGTGTCACACGGCGCTGCCGTCGGTGCGCTGCCAGGCCGTCGGTGTCCGCGAGCAGCTCGACAATGGAGTGCGCTTCCTTGATATCCGCGTTTCTGTTGCTACGGACCACGACGACCTTGCCCTCGTTCACTCTGCCTTTCCCATATCCCTGACAGGCAGCAAGTACTTCGCCGACATGCTCGCCGACATCTACGCCTACCTCGATGCCAACCCCTCAGAGACGGTCCTCATGTCGGTCAAGCGCGAGGGCACTGGCAAGGGCACCGACGAACAGCTGAGCCACTACCTGCGCGACCGCTACGTCGGCCGCGACGCCCACCGTTGGTTCGTCGAGCCGCGCATCCCCCACCTCGGCGACTGTCGCGGGCGCATCGTGCTGATCCGCCGGTTCGGCCTCGATGAGCCCCTGCGCGCCGAGCACGACGGCAGGGGGTGGGCCATTGACGCACAGCACTGGCCCGACAACTGCGAGGACGGCACAGTCGGCGGTGGGCTCCTACGCGTCCAGGACTTCTACGAGATTGACCAGTCCACCAACGTCGAGAAAAAGATCAACTTCTCCCACGGCCAGCTCGAACGTGCGGCCGAGCAGCTCTTCCACCTCCCCGGCATGCCTGACTTCAACGCCGACGCGCCGCCGAATCCATTCTTCGTCAACTTCCTGAGTGCAAGTAATTTCTTCAACGCGACCTGTTGGCCAGAGCGCATCGCCGCAAAGGTGAACCCCGCCGTGATCGAGTATCTGTGCATGCGCCACGGCGAGCCGGGCAAGGGACCTCATCAGCTGGACGTGGGCGACGCAGCGACGGGCATCATAGTAACAGATTGGGTCGGTGCACATGGTGATTGGGACTTGATTAGGTGCATTATCGGAATGAACGCACGGCTGCAGCTGAAGAACTAGGGAATGAGGCTTAGGCGGAACGATCATGAACATGCGGAGCACAGCATCTACAAATGGATGGTGGGCATGGTTATAATCACGAATCCAATACAATAGAGAGCAAGTGCAAAATATACGATGAACGGTTGTTATTTAGCCAAACTATGGGCGCAAACGCAGTTATCTTGCCAAATCCAAGGCTCCTAGCGGGTGCCAAGTTAGCTAATGTCTCAGTAAAAAAGATATCAAAACATGTGTAAAATGACAATCTCTCAATCAGTTCTCCAAGGTGAATCGGTTATGTTTTTTCGTCATGATGAACTCAGTACTAGAGCTAATAAATGGTCATCCGCGAGAGGGGGGTTTGGTGTGGAAAAGACAATAACAAATATGACTAACCATTGGGTATAGCAAAAAAACAAGTTGGATCAAGACCGACGTCCTGCCTACGTCGCGAATTAGCAACGTGATCGATGTTGTGAAGCAAACACCAATTTAGCTGGTCTAAAGTTGAGTTAGCAACTGAGATCTGTGAACGCCCTGGGAAATAAGTACCTCAATAGTATCAGAAAGTGTTAGTTGTGTTCATTTCCGGCATACACCGAAGTGCAGCCAGTCAAACAGTGTGAATACTTGATCAAATCATCAGAGTATTGAGTGAGATGCGGCAATTGCCACCCCAGACTAGGCAGGGACATTCAAGAACCAAGAGTAAGAGGAGTGTTTACCTGCGGTCAGTCCAGTCAGCGTCTTCTGTCTCGACCATTATCACGCAGGCCATAGGGATTCCCGTCCGGGGAAAGAACCCTGCCATGCCCAAGTAATTTCAGGTAACCACAATCAGTTGACGATCATCTCAACAAGAAGCCCCGAGCACCCAACACCACAGGGTTTGTACGTCCCCGTTTGTTTCCGGCGAGGGGCGTCGAGGTTCGTTTATGTCCGCCCGTTCGTTCAAATCTTCCTCATATGTGGTAGGATGGTAGTGTTTGTAGGAGGGAGGGAAAGCTTTGCGCCAGCACGCTGGAGAATTTTTGATATGTACCTATCCGATCAATGTTAGCAAGAGTGCTATAAGGATAGATGCAAGCGAAAAGTGTGGATTTCGACTCTAGATCAGACAAGGCTGAAACTATTGCACCGGATTCAACATAATATATTCTGCATGAGGAATCCCTATGGTGTACGAAGTGTTCATCATATAGAGGGGGAGGAAGGATAAGGAGTGAATTGGCTAGCTGTGAACCAACCTTTTGGAAATATTTGATGTGCGCAAGCTTCAACATCATGAAGCCATGAGAAAAGTGCTCTGGAGCAAGAAAAGTCTGCCTCGCGTTAGTCAGAGTCCGATGAACCACAGGCGCGGAATAAAACTGCTTCGCAAAGAATTGTGCTCAGGGTAGATTATGATAGTGTGTAACACCACGGGGTAGGTCTGATTTGGATTGTTCAATATTGATCAATCATCATCGCAAAACAAAGGAAAGCACCTTGCGAGCTCAAGCAGATATTAGAACATACCATTGAAATCCTGATGCCTGCCCCGGCGCAGTCAGCGCGACCATTCCATGGCGGGCAGGCAGCTTAAGGTCTGTTGACCTTTGTGAGGATGAAAGAGAAGAAGTCAATCATAGTTGGAGGAGCTTCGTGGAAAAATTTAAAAGAAAAAAATAGCACCGAGTGGGGATGGCTCGCGAGAAGCAGCTAGCTATAACAGGATTAGCGCGGTACCTCTGGGTCAATGTGTGGCGGTACACCCGAGAATGTCCGCTCTCATCGAGGTGGCGAAGTCTATCTTATCGCCTCCCTCTCATATAAGTGCACCCCGCAAGCTCCCGTCAACGTCAACACTGGGCTCCCTCCTTTCCTCAGCCACGACAACTTCGACTGCAGCTGACGTCTTTTCCCTCTTAAAGGCCGTGAGCTCTTCGGGGTCTCTTCAAAGACAACCCGCCATAATGTCTGTCGCGGGGGGAATATGGGCTCCAGCAGCCCTACGCCTCCTCCGCGTCGGCCTCACCAAAACTACAAAAGTAATACGAGCCAAACTCGCCAATGCTACCCGTCCTGTCGTCCAGGCGGAATTCGCCCACATTCCCATCCGCACGACCGGCCGACAGCCTATCCATCCATCTGCTCTCCTCCGACAGAAACGAGCGGGACGCTGGTACTCGACACAGGGCGTTCAGAACACCGTCCGCCGGTGGATCTCCACGAGCGGCTCCAGCACCTCCGGTAACGCGAGCGGCAGCACACGCTTCAGTCGAGCATCGTTCCCAACTTCCAACACAGCCCGAAGTGTAGGACAATCAACTGGCCGCGCCCCCTTCGCGAGTACGCTCCGGCCGAACCTTACCGGCGGTGCTATCGCTCGCACCCAAGGCGGCTACACCCTTGGCGGAGGCAGTGGGGTCCGCTACTTCTCTCACACCCCGGCCGCGCCGGCGCAAGTGATTCAAAATGTCTCGGTTGCAATGCGCGCTTTCTGTCTCTCGGGCCAGAAGGTCAGATATGATGGTCTCAACGGCCGTGGTGACAAGCGCTACCGTGCCGTCTCGGAGCTTGAGCAGGCCGCGTACGTCAAGATGATGGGTGCTTCTGCCCGCGGAAACCCCGGCTCCTTCGTCGACTTCCACATCAGCCCCACCGTTACAGCTCTTAGCCCCCTGGCTACGGCCGCTGCTGCGGGCTTTACCTCTGCTAATGTCGAGGCCCCTGCCACCACTCTTAACGAGGACGGCTTCTTGGACGTCTTGTCGATTGACTTTGCTCGGGCGCTCAAGGACCTTGCTGTCATCTTTGCGGATCTGAAGAGGCTCGCTGTCTTGGGCGATTTGCCCATCACTATGGAGAAGGAAAGTGTGTTACGGGTGCGATTCCCCGGGGTTGACGCCGAGACTGTTGAGCGGTTATGCGATGACGCCGGCGTTCAACGTGGTATTGTGGGTCAAGATGCCGATTTCGACGCCGGCATTGGTGCGCCGATGGCCCTCCACTTTCCGCATGCCCCTGGTGACGATGCGAAAACCATCACATCGCCCGGCGGCTCTGCACGATCGCTCTCCGGCATTGATGTTGACTTGGACGAGGCGTTCATGGATGAGATGGAAGAACACTCTTGGATGTCTGACCCCGAGGGGTACGAGAGCATGATGCCCACTCCAAAGACAAGTGAACAGGGCTCGGATGACTATGATGGCTTGGAGGGCATTTACAGATTTCTCGAGGAGTGCGACCGCAACAAGGACCGTTTCTAAAGACTTCGTGTCCTAGTTTTGCAAAGGGTTGATGGCACAGACTGGTTTCTGATTTTTGGTTTCGGGCCATGTGAGGATCTACACTCTTTGTACAGCAACACTAGCCACATGTGTGGTCGAGTGTGAGCAATCTTTTCTATCTCAAGCACAATTGCAGTTTAGCAAGACAGGAAGTTTCCATGGTTTTGGTATGCGAATAATCACTGAGGCCGATATGATATTTTCATGCTGACTTCTCTCCAACTAGCTACCACCCTGGCCACTGAAAGCTTGCCTGTGCACCTTCTCGTTGCTCCCTTTGCGAGATGTGCCTTGCGGAATAGTGCAACTCACCTATATGACCAGCCCTCGCGAAAACAACTCAATCATCATGCGGGAGACCAACGGTCTTGAACCAAGTCTTCTTCTCTTCTTTGAGCAACTCCTGGTTTGGCAAGAAGCTTGTTTAGCGACTCTGCTCGCTCGACGCTACCAAGAAGCGCAGCATACGGGGTTATGAGGCGGACAAGATCCTCAGAGACACGAACACCTGGAACAGATGTCTTGCCCTGGGCGATCTCAGGAAGAGAATCCAAGGGCACGACAGGCTTTTTTACCTTCCTGCTGAGTCTTGTCTTTTTCTTCTGATCCTTTTTAGGAAGGGGGGTGGGCGAGCTCTGGTCAACTTTTGTAGGAGCGTCGACTTTACCAATAGTCTTAGTAAAAATCTTCGTATCAGAGTCCTCCAAGCCCCCTTTCTTACGCGATCCGGTAGTGCCGAGAACCCAGACTTGGTCATCCTGCGGCTTTTCCGCCTTCTCGATGTGCTCTATGGAGGCGCGACGGTAGGCGGACCACGGGTTCAAAGGAGTGCGACCAGCCGTCTCGAAGAATGAAGGAACTGGAATAACTGGAGGCCTGATACGCGTGGGGCCCTTCAAAGCTCGTTTGGTGGTTGAAAAAGCAGCCTCAGAACCATAGCTGCCAGCATCTTCGGCCTTCTCTTGGCCAGCGTAAAAGACTCGGCTGTTCGTCTCAGAGGCCATGGCCCTGTTTCTTCGCCATGTCTTGTTTCCTTCGTTGGCAGCAGACTGCTCACTATCCGTGACTTGGATACGTTTCCTTAGCTCGGAGCATTTTTGCTTTGTGTTGACGACGGTGTCGTCTGTAGTTTGATTCTCTTTCTCGACCCCCTTGAGAGCATCGAGCTCTAGGTTACTGTGATCGCCAGAGCAGGTCTCCAATTCCCCAAGGCCTCTCTGTTGATCCGCGTCGATAACGACGACATTATCAGAGCCGGTTGCAGTCGTCACGACCCTATGCTTCTTCCTCTTCTTCTGCTTCTTCATCTTGGCCTCCTTCTTTGCCTTGGTATATTCTTTGACATCGTCAGCGGCTCCAGAATTGTGTTTCTCCGCCTTGGAGACCTGGCCAGTAGGCTTTTTGGAGTTGTCGTCTGTCTCATGCTCGGTCTCGACGACGAAAGAGCATTTGGACTTCGGCGGCTTTGACAACTTCTTGTTCTTCTTAGCCTTGTCTTTCTTTGCCTCGTCATCGTAACCGTAGTTAATCTCGACATTGACAAGGCCATCATGTGCTTTGCTGGCTTTGGAATCTGTAAGACAGGCATCGGCGCCCTGGTTACTGCCATCTTCCATGCTCTCAGCGTCGAAAGAAGAGATACTTATGGCTTTCTGCTTGATCTTATTCTTCTTCGCACTCTTTTCCATATTCATGTTGATATCCTCTTGAGAATTTTGACCATGGTCCACAGTAGAGACACCGTTTTCCGCCTCCTTGAAGGTGCGGGCGGTCTCGTCGGCTCGCTTTCTCTTCTTGGTCTTGGTACCATCTGTCTTTTCAGCGGCGCCTTTGTCCTTCTAGGGCACGGAGCTCGCAGTGATCGAAAAGGTTGGACCCATGCTCAGATCTTTCTCAAGGGCGGCGCGATAGTCGTCGTTGTCGCGGCCCGGACCACTCATCTTATAATCCCAATCGACAGATGAGGCGCCACCAGCCCCACAACCAAATGACTTGTCTTTGTGTCCGCGTTTCGGGGTCTGATTCTCATCGTGGAGCTTGGATAACAGGGATTTGAGGATTTCGACATCGCGAGCTCTGGCATCCGAAGGGTCCAATTCAAAGAGCTTCTTCCTATCGGCCAGGACCTTGCTCTGACGGCGAATAAACTTGTTCTCCTTGGCCTTCATGCGAACTGACATCTGAAGCAATAACTCTTGCTGAAGCTGGACGTCTTTGGACTGATTGAGGTGCTTCATTGACTCCGTCATCTTGTTACCCATGTCTCCTCTTATCTTGATCAATCGCCCGACTTCTTGAGCCAAGGCACGGTGGTCGTTGCTGCTGAAGGGCTTGGCCAAGTTGAGGTCACCGACTTTCAAGGGCTGCGTTGCCTTGAAGGGCGTCATGGTGGTGACCTTGGGTGAACCATCGAGGGGGCGTCGTGAAGAATAAGAAGAAAAGAGGTCCAGGGAATAGCTGAATGCAATGTATTGCCCAAGAACCAAACCACTTTACTCGTGTTAGATCGGAGAGCCTCCCTGGTCAGCTCAAATTCGGTAGTGGGCTGGGAGAGTCAAGAGGCAGTGGAGGGATTGGATGAAGGATTGAATGAACCATCACGGAAGGCACCTATCTGGTGGGCAAGCTAGGTACCTAGGTAAGTCTCGAAGGAGCTCTGGAGGGGAGCTACAGGCAGGCAGCCAAGCCTAGCCGTGGGGCCTGTGGCCGATCTGCGCTGTGGAGCCGCTACACTTCTTAGAAATCTCAACGGGGCGTTTTCGTTTAGCTACATACATCTCACAGTCTGTCAACAAGCTAAAGACAACTTCAGACGATGAGTCCGCATTAGTGATACCAATGAGGGACAGTCGGTACTAGGTAAGTCAGACCGCCCTCCCGTTTGACACAACCCCGCATTTACGGCGGCATCTTCGCAGCAGGCCCAGCTAGTCAGCCTTAGGCCTGCCGCGGATGTATCAACAAATCAAAAGAACCAGCCCAGCGAATTTTAGCCGTTGGAGGTGACTATCAACCACTCGGAAAGAACTGGATAGATGGGTTCTTCGCCGTAGCCCTTCCATAAGGACTATCAGAGAGAGGCAAGGCTATTCGTCACCGGAAGCCCGTTGTCTAAGATCCCGAGCTTAGGATCTGGGGTAGTTACAGAGGCTGTATGGCGCAACCCCACCTCCCGCAATTGAACCTCGGCATTGGCGGCCGACGTTTCACTGCCACTGGAGCTGATCTGATATGTCCGGCTAGGTGGTCGGTTAGTTGGCCACAGCTACGCCGAGGGAAGCTCTGCCAGTGCCCGTTAAAACCGTCGTGACGTCCCCAGTGCTCGGCCGAAGCGCGACGCAACTTTCAATTCCTAAAATCTGTAATCCGCCCGCTCTTCTGGTGCCCTTGCTGCTTGAGCCCTCAACTCGAATCACCTCGCTGCCTCACTGCCTGCAAATACACGAAAACACACATCTCTCGAGACGTCACGATGAGCGGCCCCGGTGTCGGATTTGAATACCCTAGCCAAGAGGTTTCCTGGCTAAAGCGCGATGTGCTGCTCTTCGCGAACACCATCGGTGCTACCAACGATGAGCTACACTTCCTCTATGCAAGTCCTTCTTTCTAGCATGACGTCTGCCATTCTTGGTATCTAACCCTTGGCCAACAGGAACTCCACCCCAACTTCGCCGTCTTCCCTACATACCCTCTCATCCTTAGTGAGGCTAGCCCGACCCGATTTCGCCTGTGTCTCAGCTAATAATTAGCCAGCATTCAAGGGTAACACCCAGGAGGTAATTGACTTCTACGCTGCCCAGAAGGCTGTCCAGATTCCCAACGTCCCCTCATTCGATGCCCGCCGCGTCGTCGATGGTCAGCGCAAGATCATCCTTCGCAAGCCCGTTCCTACCACCTCGGCCGGCAAGAAGTTTGAGGTCCGAACCAAGGTCCTTGGCGTTTACGACAAGGGCCGCCCCGGGTCAGTCGTTGAGACCCAGAGCGATCTGGTCGAACTTCCTAGCAACGAAGTCTACGCAAGTGTTATCACCAGCAGCTTTTACGTCGCCCAAGGCAACTGGGGCGGCCCCAAGGGCCCTGCTACGGAGAACTTCCCTCCCCCCAAAGACAAGAAGCCCGATGCCACCTTTGCGCAGCAGACGACCAAGGAGTCGGCACTCCTGTACCGCCTTAACGGAGATTACAACCCGCTGCATGCAACTCCAGAGCCGGGCAAGAAAATGGGGTTCCCTGGAGCCATCATGCACGGCTTATACTCGTGGAACTCAACGGCTCACGGGCTGCTGAAGGCATTTGGTGGCAGTGACCCTGCCAACATCAAGGAGTACCAGGCCCGTTTTGCCAGTCCTGTCATGCCTGGCGACAAGCTGGTGACAGATGCCTGGAGGACAGGCAATGCCAAGGATGGTTGGGAAGAGATCCGTTTCCAGACCAAGGTTGAGGGCGGCAAGGTTGTGCTCAGCAACGGTCGGGCCTTGATTAAGGTCGTGGAGTCTCCCAAGTCGAAGCTGTAGAATTACTCCAGATTTTATGTATTTTCTAAGAGTTAACGTAACCAAGTGTGACATGTTCCAAGTTACAACAGCAAGCTAAATATGAACGTTGTCGTGATGGTGGTGGTGGCGGTGGTGGTGGCATCGCTCGTTCTCTTGTATGTCGTTTTGTGAGGGGCTCCCACTAACAATTATGGCCTTTCGGCGACAGCTCCAGTGAGAGCTCAATCGCCCACCTTGTGTGGAACTTTCTGTTGCCTGAACATAACATCAACCAAGCACTCAAAAAATGCGCTTGAGCTGCTGACCACACCAGCGGTGTTAATAAACCACCGGCATTCAATATGGCGCCTAGTTACCACATCGGTCAGCGGCTGTCTTATGATGGCGCGCTCTGCACGGTCCGCTATATCGGGCCCGTCGCTGGCACATCGGGCACATGGCTCGGCGTAGAATGGGACGACGCTGGACGCGGGAAGCATGATGGCCGGCATAAAGATGTCCGGTATTTCTCATGTAACTTGCTCTCCTCGGCCTGCTGCTTCGATCACCCGGGCTCTAATCAGCGTGGACAGGCCTTTCCAAAAACCCCACGGCCGCCTCGTTTGTGCGGCCATCCCGCCCCACCGACGCTGCGCAGAGCTTCGTTGCAGCGTTGCACAGCAAGTACAACGCCGAGGCGGTGGCGGAGCGCGAGGCAGAGATCCAGATTGTCTTTTTCGGCAAGAAGCCCGCCGAGGAGGTCGGCTTCGACAAGATCCGCCGGCAGCTTGCGCGCGTTGAGGACCTGACCATTGTGATCCTCGACGGGGCACGCATCACCGTCGATGTTGCGCCTGGGGATAAGGGCGTCAGGGAGACAAGTCCTCTCATCGCGGAGCTGGATATCAGCAGAAATCTGCTTGAGGAGTTTGGACAAGTAGTGAAGATTTGCCAAGAACTTGAAAGCCTGAGGAGTTTAAGACTCAAGTACGTTCTGCTTGCCCCTCGATCTTCTGCATCGTGTCAACTGACTTGTGTCTAGTGGCAACCGGTTCCGGGTTATCGAAGATGGGGAGACCAGCGCTTTCGCAAAAGTCAAGGACTTGGAGCTCGAGGAGATGTTGCTGGACTGGGGTCCTCTCTGCGGCATCGCTCACAAGTTTCCATCCCTGTCGACCTTGAGCTGTAGCTTGAACCAGCTGTCCGTCCTCCCGCCCGTCTCTTTCGGTGCTCTAGCCAACACGCTGACAACCTTAACTCTCGAATTCAACGAATTCACCTCCTTTGCCGATGTTGCATCCCTATCCTCTCTCACCTCTCTCAGTAACCTCCACTTAAAGGGCAACAGCATTTCTACCATCGCCCCGCCTTCCACTCCGACACCCGTCTTTCCCCGGAGCCTGCGGTACCTCGACATATCCTACAACGCCGTCACGACATGGTCCTTCATCGACGCTCTCCCCATTTCCTTCCCAGGCCTCACGGCCCTCCGGCTCGCCCATAATCCCGTCTATGATCGACCCGACCCGAATGCCGTCGACGGTGGCGCCCAGACAAAGTCGACGGACGAGGCCTTTATGATCACCATTGGCCGCCTCGGCGCGCTGAAGGCCCTCAACTTTACCCCCATCTCGGCCACGGACCGCGCCAACGGTGAAATGTTCTACCTCTCCCGGATTGCCAAGCAGCTCGCATCTGTTCCTGAGGCTGCCGAGACTGAGGTCCTTGCTCAGCACGCCCGCTACGCGGAGCTCTGCGACATATATGGCTCTCCGGACATTATTCGCCGCGACGAGATTAATCCGAATTACCTCGAGGCTCGCCTCATCACCGTTCATTTCACGCACATGACAAAGGCCACGAAGACTGCCACAATTCCAAAGTCTTCCGACATCTATGCCGTCAAGGGTATCGCGGGAAGGTTGTTTGGTGCGGAGCCGTTGCGTCTCCACCTGGTATGGGAGACGGGCGAATGGGATCCTGTCGGCGGGTTTGATGAGGACGAGAACGCGGATGACAGCAGCGACGAGGAGGACGCCGGGAAGAGCGGTGAGGGAGCTGGAATGAGGACCGATACTATCGTGCGTGAGGAGAAGGTTGGTAGGTGGGTGAAAAGGGAGGTCAGCCTCAAGGATGGACCTAGGCAGCTAGGCTTCTGCGTGGACGGGATGGACGTCAGGATTCGTGTGGAGGATAAATGAATGTTATGTTCCCCTACGTGCGTAGCCCTATAGGGGATGGCTTTTGTTTGTCTCGCGGGAACTTGCATGTAGACTGCGTCTGATATGGCGTGGAAGTTCGTTTGCAATGTCTACGCAAGCGACATTGGAAAAGGCGCATGCTGCCGTGCCAGGAAACCTTGGGCATATGAAGCATGTTGGAGCTGTCATGTAGACAAACGGATGCAATAGAAGACGAGACATGGGCATTAGGTATACTTGCCCTCTCCCCCCTTATGTGTTTCTTCTTCAGCCTGCCATTTCCTTGAATAACGTTTCGCATTTCTCTAATCAATTGCTCCTTTCAAGTAATTTCATTCAACACCTAACATCAATGTCACAAAAGACCTCCTTTTTCTCTGGCCAGTCCAATATGCCTGCAATCAACAGCAACAGGAGGGGCCTTTCTCGGTCCATTCATAATCCACAAACCGACAATGGCTGGCAGTTGCGACCCAGGCACTTCATCGTCCGCGAAGGTGGCACTATCGTACCTCTCGTCCCTGTCGACCAACTACCCGCATACATCAAAATCCATGGAGTACCGCGTGAAATGGGCATCGAGGACACAGCCGGCATGTCCAACTTGGGCATGTTTACAAAGCCGGAGGGCCTCTTCCAGATATGCCCTCTTACTCCGACGAATGACAAACCTAGCAGCTCCGTAGGCCTCAGTCAAAGTGATCCGTCTGCACTCGACAATCGCACATGTCCCCAGCAGATTGAACGACTTCGTGGTACTGCGCCTGAACCTACGTTTGAGGGCCCGGTGACGAGGTGGGTTACCGAGTCTATGACAGGAGACTCAAGGGTCCCACCCTCTCGCCCGACTATGACCACGGAAACGACCCAGCCGCAGCCACCGGCACTGGAGCTGCCGGCTCCTCGAGTTATAGACTGGGCCGAAGATACAGAGTCCGTTTCCACCGACAACTTCTCCGCCGTAGACGAGGATCGCTCGGCATCTTCGACGCCAAGCACGGCGGTCATTTCTGTGAAAGAAGCGCAGACCCAGCAAGTCCCAACTCCCAGGAAGGAGAAGTCGGCAGCCGAGATCGCGGGCCGCATGCTCGAGCTTGGTGACACCCAGTGCACCACCCGGCAGGACCCGCCGTCTCGGACGAGGACTCAAAGCAGCATCTGCGGCACCGCGAAGCCCCCTAGGTCGGGCAAGCAAAAGGCCCCCCGGCCCGCGGGCAGCCTGTGCCGGCACTGGTGCCAGACGGGTCAGTGCAGCTGGGGCACCGAATGCCGATACACACATCAGATGCCGGTGACGCTCGAGGGGCTCGCGGACGTTGGGCTCACGGAGCTGCCGGGTTGGTGGCGTCGGGCGGCCGGGCTGCCTGTGAAGGGGACGATCGACGTGCGTATCTTCGCTGCTGCTGCGTCTGCCGCTGCCGGCGGTGGAAAGAAGAACCCGTCCCCTACTCTGACACCAGGCACCACGATTGCTGTTCCAGTCCACCCGTCCAAGAAGGCTAGATCGAAGGCCGAGAGGGAGGAGAGGAAGATGGCAGAGGAGGTTCACGCGGTTCGGCTTGGGCTTGAAAGGGCTCAGGCAACAGGAAGCAAGAAGAAGCTGGGACTGGGACAAGCACAGGCGCAGCAAACACAGGCGGGAAATGTTCAGCAGCTACACGAAGAGGTGGAAAAGCTTGTTGATATCTGAAGCTGCAAAGGTGAACCCGTAGACTTGCTTGTTGGTATGATTTCAGCCATGCCGTTCTCTGTCAAAAGAAGCATTCCCATAATGCGAATCAGTACTTTGCCGCTTGAACCAAAAACTTCAGTGACACAACATAGCGGTTCTTCGTTTCGCAGTGACCTTGCCGAAGTCACTGTTAGGCATTGCTGCGCAACGAGTGATCCTGTCCCAATGCCGACGGGAAGTAACGTAGTCATGGGAATGCACTTCTGCAATGGAATGAACAATTGGTGGTCGCTGATCTCGGGCATGTGAGATAGCAGGCCGTTGATGCTTACGAAGCCGTTGCTCCTACACGTGTAGTGGCCAAACCTCTCGGCGTAAGACTATTTGAAATACCTAACGGCAACTGAAGTGCCGACGGGGTGGATTTAAGCGTCTGACAGTGATTACCTCCGAGTGGTTGGTTGGGTCCCTGAGTCCAGTCCTTCAGATCGAGATAGTGTAATTCCGATCGGTCGGGAATCGAAGAAACGCATTGCTGCTAATTCCGGAGCGATCTCTCCTAACGCCGGCCAATCAGTTCACTGAGACTTGAGGGTGGACGAGAGGGTTCCACTCTGTACTTTTCGTTATTTGACTATGAACACATAGAGAGAGAAAGAGAGAGAGAGTGGGGGGTACCTAGACAGGCACTTGCGTATGGTTCCAGTACAAAATCCTCTTTATTTTGTTTACGGATACTCACGTCACGATTGGTGATAGCAGTTTTGAAGCGTTCCGAGACAAAAGTATATATAGCACGGGCACAGCAGTCATACCCTACTTACCCTATTGCCCATCATAAAGTTACTCAATTGTTCAGTGACCCGACAATAACACCATCAACACACACACCCACGTCAGTCAGCCAAAATATGCCTCAGCTTAACGGACAAGAAGTTGGCCAGATCGGCTATGGCCTTATGGGCCTTACCTGGCGCCCGCAGCCCTGTTCCGAAGAGCAAGCCTTCGAGGCCATGCGTGCTGCACTCAAGAACGGCTGTAATTTTTGGAACGGCGGAGAATTTTACGGAACGCCAGAGTACAACAGCAGCGTTTTACTCGAGCGCTACTTTGCCAAATATCCCGAGGACGCCGACAAGGTCGTGCTCAGCATGAAGGGCGGTCTCCGCCCGGGCCTGCGCCCTGACGGCTCCCCAGAGGGCATCCGTCGCTCCCTTGACAACATCATCGGGCAGCTCAAAGGCCGCAAGAAGGTTGATATCTTCGAGTGCGCGCGCCGTGACAAGGACACGCCCCTGGAGGTCACTTTCGGCGTCATCCAGAAGGAGTACATTGACACGGGTAAGGTCGGCGGCATCTGCCTCTCCGAAGTCTCGGCCGCAACTATTCACGAGGCCGTCAAGCACGCAAAGATTGTCGGTGTTGAGGTGGAGCTCAGTCTCTTCTCGACGGAAATCCTCAACAACGGAGTCGCCACGGCGTGTGCTCAGTACGGCATCCCAATCATCGCCTACTCGCCTGTCGGCCGCGGCATGCTCACCGGCCAGATCAAGACGCTGGACGACATTCCCCAAGAAGACATACGCCGTCACCTGCCGCGTTTCCAACCTGACACGTTCAGCATCAACATTAAGCTCGCTGAACAAGTGGAGGAGCTGGCGAGGAAGAAGGGAGTCACACCAGCGCAGCTGGCCATTGGATGGGTGATGGCGCTGTCGAGGCGGCCCGGCATGCCGGAAATCATTCCGATTCCTGGTGCTACGACGGCAGAGAGAGTCAATGAGAACGCCAAGTTGGTTAAGCTTACTGACGAGGAGATGAGCGAGATCGACGCAACATTGGCCAAGTTCGAAGTCGTGGGTGGTCGCTATCCCGACGGTGCCCCTGTCAACACATAAGTGGAAGATGAATATCGGTTCAGTTTATCTGCGGGAATTTCTTTTCCAAGTTAGCTCAGTGTTTTCGTACTTGAGGGTCCAGGTACAAAATAGATGGTTGAGAAACAGGCTCAGTGTTGCAGTAACGCGAAGATTTTATCCACAGGACGGCCTTGCGGCCTTCAGCATTGCAGAATTCTAATTTGTTCATCATAATGCCGTGAAAGAGTAAGAGAAAAACCAGTCCAACGACTTACCGTTTGCAATGCTTGGAGTTTCATAGCCAGCTGTTATTGAAAGCTGGCAGTTGTTGGAGAGAGATATGGTCGAGATGAGAAAATTATTCCCTGATACCGCCCTTTATGTACCGGATGACTAAGCACGTTGCCTTTAGCTTTCGGGGGTGGGCGCCAAGCCTGGTGTTTCCACCATCAACCGTACTCGCTAGTGCCAACAATAGAAGGAAAGTCGTGGGTGCTAGATGCAAGGAATGGTAGCTTGACATGTAAGATTGACATACTCAAGAATAACATGGCATCAGGGTATACAAATCATGCGCCCTTGACCAGCAAAATCGAATAGTAGTAAGTCCCGACCTATACGAGGGGCGTGCGTAGAAAGAAGTTGGTTTCTATACCATTGCCCCATTGAGTCCGTGAGCCTCAACTCTATTGACCAACTTCTTCACGTTCGTCCACTCCTCCGCCTTCAGATCATCTCTACCACCCAGACCAGACGTGACCTCAAAGATGGTGAGCACTCCATCGATACCTCCCGTGGCCAGACGCTTGCCCTCGGAAGGCTCCCAAACAACCTTGTTCAAGCTCTTAGCCAGCATGGTTCTACCATCCTTACGGGAGCTGGGCGATATTCTCGCGACGGGCTCCTCTGTCTCGACTGTGATATCCCACAACTCAAGCCATCCTGCGCCATCAACAAGTGCGAACACGCTGGGCTTAATCGGCGACCATTGAGCATCGTAAACAACATCTTCTCGCACAAAGTCGATGAGCGGTGAAACCGTTGGCTCAACTCCCGCGGTTGAAGTCGCAGCAGGCGCGCGAACCTTCCATAACCTGACACTCCAGTCGAGTGACGATGAGAGCACCAAGTCACCGAGATCCACCGGCCCGCGCGCAGGGTGGAAGTCCACTGACATAACAGGTGCCGTGTGACCCTTGTAGCTGACCCGCGCATCAACGCCGGCCTTTGCGCCAGCTCGGTCGTATCTATGACAGGGGAAGATCGTGCCCTCCTCACTACCGACGAGGAAGAAGGTTGGGTCGGTTTGCGGGAATGCCAAGCAAGTCGGGCTGACATCGTCAAGCTTGTATCCGGGTGGGGCTTTGAGCTCCAGCAGTTCCTGTGGCTGGGCAAATACATCCATGCTCCAACCGCAAACAACACCGTCCGTTGAGGTAGAAATGATGTTGTTAGCGTTCTGGGTTCCGACGATATCGACTGAGTAGATGGGATGTGTGTGACCATAACCAGTGAGGGGCGTTTTCTGCACCGGTGCCGATTTTGCTCTCATGTCCCATAGGAGCACCTGACCGCTGTAAGTGCCGCCGATGATGAGGTTCTGGTGGTACGGCGAGAACTTGGCTGTAAGAACATCAGACTGCGCATGGAAAACATATTCTGGTCTATCGCGTAGGGCCAAGCTCCATACTTGGACGAGGCCGTCTGGCTCATGCGGCGCAGTCGGATTCTTTGTGTACGAGGCCAGCATCAGCTCGGAATGATGATGTGAGAAGTCGATGCTGCTGATCATGCGCTTCTTCGACCATCTTTCGTCAAAGAACTGTGCCACCTCCTTCACCCTACGGCGACCCTTGCCACCGAAGTTGCCGCTCTCGTCATCTTCGTCTTCAACGTCTTGACCTTGTAGTGCGTAGTCGGTGAGGATATCGTATTCCTGATCGAGTGCTCGCTCAATGACCTTGGTGGACTTCTCGAGGAAATCGGCAAAGTCGGGTGCACCAGTAACAGCCTCAAGTTCTTCGGTGGTGAGCTTGCGCATGGGGTAATTTGCCTTGGTGGAGGCATCGTTTGGAATGACGCCATCCTTGAGCAAATCCAGCGAGGCCTTCAACTCTTCCTCCACTTCCTTCCTGATGTCCTGTCGCAACTCTTCTTCCCGATCTCTTTGCCTTCTACTCAGCCTCTTGTTGGGCGTCGATGTGATTGGGGGAATGTCCTCGTTGTCGGAGAGCGACTGGGCTCGGGGTCGAGTCGGCGATGTCCACGCTTCGGCCGTCTGCACCCCCTTGCTGTAGGAATGTACCTCTTTCACGGGTGAAGGCGGACACTCATATACCGTTGTAAGCGGTGCCGTTGTCAGGCTAAGCTGTACAATTGGAGTGGGCGTTGGCTGACCGTTGGCGGGGGTGACGAATTCCGAGGTTGCAGTGCTCAACTCCCCTGCGCTTAGAACGCTGTTTGGTCGGCTGCCCCTACGAGCCGGCGATGCTGCCCCTCCATTCGTAGAACCGGGCCTACTTTCCCCTACCAGGCTGTTGATCAAAGTCTCGATATCGCGGCGGTTCTCGGCTCGGCCTGGAACGGGAGACACAAGCTATTGCTTCAGTCAGTAAGTCGCGCCAGTAAGAAGATCGAATCGACATACGTCGCCTGGACTCCCTGCGCTTTGTCGACTTGTCGTTGCGTGGCTTGCGCGAAGCTCCCTTTGCCGTTTGAGCTCCGCGAGCTTAGCCTTCTTCGCTAGGATTTCATCTCGTCGCTGTTGCATCCTGACTTCTCCTTAATCCCATCGCGGGACTTGCCGACTATATGTGACGAGCAATCGCGGGGAAGGTACACACTGCTGTCTCGATGACAGATGGAGTGCGCAAGTTAGCTAATTGGGGGGAGGCGGTCTAGGGAGAGCGAATCGTCGATTTGTTGTTGACAGGTATTGTGACGACTGTTCGACCGCTGTGGTGTCCCGGTCCTTTTGGCTTGATGGGGATTACTCTCCATGCGCGTTATCTCGTCGCGATTCGAGAAGGACCCCTGTTGGCAGGCAGGTACCTCAGCTGCCAATTGACTACAGGAAGATACCTTAGTGGCCCTTGCATTAAAGTTGACCTCTGGTCCCTAGCAAGGCATAGCACACGTGATTGCGTCAGATCGGTAAAGGACCGGCAAAACTGTCTTCCCACCTTGTCACGCAGCGGAATGTGCACTGGGCAAGCGTGAGTTGTGTGGCAAGGTAGCCGCTGTAAGCTCTCACAGTCAGCATGTCGCGGTACGTCTGGTGCAGGCATTAGGCGACCGCGGCGCGCCATTGGCATTAGTGCTGGGCTGGTGTTCCCCGTCCGAGCTCCAGACGCCCGGGAGTGACCAGAAGGCCAACCGGTGGAAAATCTGCGAGTTTTCCCGAGCCAGCTCGCATATTTTCAAAACTTCACACCTTGCGTCCCCTAACGTAATTCCCTCGACAGAGCTCCGAAAGGGTCAATTGGCAGCCATTGTCAACCCGCGCACTGTCCTTCCCATCGCTCCTTCCCTCCCGAAAGCGGTCGCGCAATCTAGGCAATTGCCCCAAATGTCTTCCTCCTCAGGAGTTAACGTACGTCTTGTCCTTCGTCCGCATCCCGCGGAGCGACCAGCCGCACTATCCTCCCTGAGCCGACGAGCGCCCATCGCCAACCGAATCGACCCCGGACATGACACGCTCGTCACGAGAATAGGAACAGTCTGGCTGATTGATGGATTCTTTAGGTGTTGCGATACACGGCCCTCGGCCTGGGTGTGTTCTACGGTTTCACACATCAGCGATCGATCACAGCAAGCCAGAAGGCTGCTGCCGCCCAGAAGGAGTATGAGCGCAAGGAGAAGTTGATCGAACAGGCGAAGGCCGAGTTTGCGAAAAAGAACGAGCCACTCAAGTCGGCGGCTGCTGATGCTGGAGGTGTGTTTCTTTCTCCCCCCCCCCTTAATGTCAAGACGTCAAGTATGTTCAATAAGTCAGCGGTTTATCGTATGCCTAGTCTTAAGCCTGTCGGGTCCTATATCTAGTGTTCGCGTGTCCTCGGAATAGTCCAGTTCGACACGGGGCATTGAACGTGATAGGCCCAGTCGGCGTAGGCCTGACCTGTCCAGAACGCGACTTGAAAGATGACCCGCCAGGATCGTGCTGAGGGCCTCTACCGGTTGGTTGAGAGATAAATCCATTCGTGCGCT